AGAAAGAGGAAAAGAAAAACAGCGGGGAAGATGAACGTGATAAAGGACAAAAAAGAAAAACAAACAGACAAAAAAATACATATATCAATCACCTGGATCACCTGTCAGGAAAAAAAAGAAAACGAGCAAAAAAGAGAGCAATTTAATAAATAACATCATCGCGATGATCTATGTGAATATAACAGTAAACACTAACTATTGAATATTATTGTGCAGCACGTAAGATCGACAGCGCACAGTGTGCTTTGAGGTAGGAGCCAGAGTGACGGGGGGTCACTGCTCGAGATCTCACAGTACAGTATAAGAGTCCCGCCACAAGGAGACACTAAAGGCTTTCAAACCAACAGTTTCTGCTTCCAAAGTGGCGCCAGCCGTCACCACTGATCATCATACTTATGTAACATAGACTGTGGATGCATGTTTAAGTTGATACATCACTTAAAGCCACCACTGTTCAGGCATCACATCTGTCCATTAGGTTTCCCTTTCATACTCAACATTTTTATCCCTGGGTACTAACTTTTTTGTTTTTGCTGACTGTTTATTTATTTGTTTGTTTGTCTAATGCTCTTGTTGCACTGCTAAATAGGCTGTAGCCAACATGATTTATAAAATGATTATAAAATCTAAGAAATTACTGCATTATTTTACCTACTCTTATTAAACTCACTTTCCTAAAAACTGATTGCAACTTCTAACTTGTGACGTAAATGTTATGCCTCAAATTTATTTCACATCATTCATGGGAGACATGTTTGATAAATGATAAGTTAACAAGTCACTGCTACCAGCCTAATCTATTCATTGGGGCGACCTGTGTGTTGTGTTGCATTGTCTGATTTGGTGGTAGTGTGTAAACACCTCTAGAGGCCACTGTTGTATAGCTGCTGCAAACTGAACGTGCCCGTACCAGAGGTTATACTCAAAATGGCAGCTGCCAGGAAGTCTCTTTGGACATTGTGTTCACCCTTTATGAAATAGATATGTTGTATTACAAGGTACTAATGCACCCTTGCATTGGTAAAATAAATTCTACTAGAATAGCTGATACTCCCTTACAGAAGATTTATTTTGACCTTTCTAAAGCCTTCTTTAAAAATTAGAAAATAAAATGAAAACAGGCATATCAAAACAAGCCTACTAGAAATACTACTCTGCATTACATCCTAACACTTGGCTAAATCCTAATATGTAATTCTGGTTTAATAGTTTATTTCACTAAATGTGATTATGCACTAAAAAAAACATGTTGGGTTTACTTAATTCAATAGTGGACACTGGTTGCACACTGATGTTTTGCTTTGGCAGGAGCTTAAACAACTGAGGTGAAGTTATTCATATTCAATAAACCTGTGCAATTTGTGTTGATAAAGTTTGATTGAAACAAAATATCCAATTTGAGCTCCTGGATATTTTAATCCTTCACAATTTTCACACTTTATTCCAACACTATTCAGTGACTTTTACCCAAATACTATTTGGTCACTGGAATACTATATGTTATCTTCAAATGACATGTTGGTATTATATTCCAAATACACAATTTTCCAGTGAAGGCCTTATAACAGATTGTATTGTTCTCTTCCAAGATTGTTGCCAGCATCCACTAGTAACCTTTCAAAACAAAAACACTAATATCACTGCAGTGACAGTAGGTAAACCAGGGGTCTCAAACTCACGGCTCGGGGCCAACTTGCGTGAGGCCCGTGTCAGCCCTACTTGCCACCCTTACTGTTGACGTGAAGAAAGGAAATACAATTTGGCCCTTGAAGTTCGTTTTTGTTACGAGGGGTTTTGTTGTTGAGTGCAATTTGAAAATAAGTTGTTTTAAAAGCAAAAATGTTTTAAAATGAGGGCAATATGAGCAGAGAGTAAAAACATATTGAGGGATTGGCTGTATTAGTTCAGTGAGAGAGTTATATGTAAAGAAAACAATTTTCACTAGCAGTCAAAAACTAATGTGTTCACTTATGTCTGCATTTTTATTTTGTTAAATATGGACAAAACTATTGTAGAAATGCTTCCACGTGTCTGGCCAGAAAGAGAGTATCTTTCCTTTTTATTTGTTAGTTCAATAAAAAGGTTTCAGTTAGTGAGAAGTTTTTTGCATTCACATTTGCAGTTTGTTATACAATATTTGAAACAAACAAACAAAACACTACATTTTCTGAAAGATTTGTGGGTGTTTTCTTGTTTGTTTGTTTTTGTACTACTTGAACACTAAAGTGGCCCTCCAATGACATGACAGTACCAGCAGTGGCCCACAGCTCATTTAAGATTGACACCCCTGCTTTAAGGTGTTATTATGTGGATATGTTGGTTTTATTTAGTTGCTGTCAACAAGTGGAAGGTAACCTAATGAAGCCTGTTATTTCTTTCTGTGGCTCAGAAGTTGGAAATTTCAATAACAGTGCGTTATCCAATTACTCAGATTGTCAGAGGAGTTCACATTTCCCTATATACTCGATTAAAATACCCCATCTTCGATCCATCCCATACAGGTCACCCTGACAACACTGAGCAGTCCCTTCAGTGACAGGCTGCTGCTGCTGTCAGACTGTACACTGCACAACAGCAGTGAATGTACACCACATATGAACACACTGGGGTCTTTACATATATCAGTGTGCAATACTAAATACCTGCTACTATTAACACCCAAACACTGCACTATGTTTCATTCTTCTTCTATTAGTAATCTGTATAATTGCATCATATATGTGTATATATGTATGTCTGTATATGTATGTGTGTGTATTTGTGTGTGTGTACGTCTGTGTGTATGTGTAGATAGATAGACAGAGTGATTTACATATATAAGTACATATCTATTCATTGTACCTGCATAGTCCATATTTCTTCTATTTTTGCAAAGCATTATTGCTGTTAGGTATGCTGCATGTGTTCATTTGTTCCTGCCTTGTGTACTCTGCTGCAGTAACAATTTGAATTTCCCAACTTATCTGAACTGTATCTAAACCCAGCTGATATCTGGCTAAATTTTCTGGTGAGCATCCAAATCACACTGGACTGAAGTTTACACTGTATAATGCCTGATTTCTTGTAAATATTTAACGAAATATATATTGATAAAATGCTTAACAGGCCACAGTGAACAATGGAAAATAAAATTTAAATAAATAATTAAAAAACACCCAAAAACACTCAAAAATATATATTTTTTAGAGATGTCTTAACCTGGTTATGCTGTACCATCCAGATGAAGTCGTGAGCCAAAGATCCTTTAAGTTTCATCTAATGAACTTACCTTTTCCTACATATGAGAAATGATCTGGTGTGAAGTAAATTGGGTTTGTATATATGTAGCCTCAGATGAGCATGAAACTTCATTTTTGACCTGCTTAATAGCAGTCTCAAATATTAAAGTCTATTAAATCAATTAACCAATGCAGCAGCTGAAATATGACACCAAAGGCCACTCTTAATACAGACAGAAGTCAGGTAGTCAAAAATCTCTTATTCTGCTTTTTGTATTCTGAACTCTGAATCTTGAGTGGACAGCCAACAATCCTACAAATAGACTAGAGGATGTGCCTGAAATGTTTGTTAAAACAAATAACTGGACCTTAGTTGTTAATCAGAATCAGAATACTTTATTAATCCCGTGGGAAATTAGGGTTACAGCAGGCAGCACGCCAATGGCACATGCGCACTTACAAAGGAACCTTCTGACCAACTTTACACAAACATCACATTGGGGAGACATGTAAGAAAGGTAGGCTGATAGGAAAAAACAACAAAAATACACTACATGAGGTAAGAGGAGGAGGGAAAAAAACTCCACTCAGACTGAGCTCCTAGTGGGAGAACAGTTTGATAACAGAAAAAACACCTCAGCACAAAAGCACATGACTATCAATACACCATAGAAACACAAGACAAGCAACAGGGGCAGGTAAAGGGTAAGAGAGAGCCGGTGTAGACAGCGCATCCGGTCCTGCAGCATATCTGCGCTGGTCCAGTTGACTGCCATCTTCCCCGGTAGGGCACAATCATCGAAGGCGTATGGAAAGGGAGGGGGGATCAGTGTGTGCATATCAGAATCAGAATCAGAATACTTTATTGATCCCTGGGGGAAATTATTTTTTGTTACAGTGCTCCATTATAAACCAACATTAAGACAAGACAGACAATACGCTAACTAAGAATAGTACAATATATACATATATATACATACATACATAAGTCACTCATAAATAAATAGCTGGAAAAGAAACATGTGTAGTTGTAGCAGTAAACAGTGTGTTAAGTGGATGCGTTGTACAGGGAGATGGCCACAGGCAGGAATGATTTCCTGTGTCGTTCAGTGGTGCTTTTCGGTAATCTCAGTCTCTCACTGAACGAGCTCCTGTGACTGACCAGCATGTCATGGAGTGGGTGGGAGGTGTTATCCAACATTGTCTTTATCTTGGACAGCATCCGCCTCTCCGACACCCCCTTGAGGGAGTCCAGCTCCATCCCCACAACATTGCTGGCCTTACGGATTAGTTTATTGAGTCTGTTGGCATCTGCAACCCTCAGCCTGCTCCCCCAGCATGCAACAGCATAGAGGATCGCACTGGCCACAACAGACTCATAGAAAATCCTCAGCATTTTCTGGCAGATGTTGAAGGACCTCAGTCGCCTCAAAAGATAGAGGCGACTCTGGCCCTTCCTGTAAAGTGCTGTGGTGTTTTTAGCCCAGTCCAGTTTATTGTCAATGTGTACTCCAAGGTATTTATAGTCCTCCACAATGTCAACACTGACCCCCTGGATTGAAACAGGGGTCAAGTGTTTCCTGGTCTTCCTGAAGTCCACGATCAGTTCCTTGGTCTTTGCCACGTTGAGCTGCAGATGATTCTGCTCACACCACGTGACAAAGGAGTCGACCACAGCCCGGTACTCTGTCTCATCATCCCTGCTGATGCATCCAACCACCGCAGAGTCATCAGAAAACTTCTGAAGATGGCAGGTCTCTGTGCAGTGGCTGAAGTCTGTGGTGCAGAGGGTGAAGAGGAAGGGGGAGAGGACAGACAGAGAGGACCAGATTTTGTGTGACCTTTGACCTCTTCGATACAACATAACTACGTAGCTCAGCTTGCTCGTCTTACTGTGATTCAGCTGAATTTAATCATGACAGTGATGGGTTCGCCTTTATTTTTGGTCATAATCGCCTGCATCATTCCTAAAGGCGTATGGAGATACCTCAAACCTTTAAAGAAGTTCTCGATCAGAGGTCTGTCAATCCTGCATTTTCCTTTGGCCGCCTCAAAATTATTGCTGAGGACGCCATAGATATTCACCTTGTCGGTTTTTTTCCCAAAAAACAAGAAGAGAGCGTAGCAGTCCTTGCCGATGGAGGTGCAGAAGTTCACCATTCTCTCGTACATGTTATTGTTGCTGGACTCCATCTGGGCCATCTGGATGGATTCACTGCAGGTGTCCATAGAGACCTTCTGCTCAGCCTCCTCCCTTTCAGACAGGTGCAGGACCTGCACGACAATCTGGAACTTGGGGTTCTTGGTCGGCCTCTCCAGCACTGCCCAAACCCAGTCAGCACCCAGGAGGACGCGCTGCTCAGGAGTCATGACTGTGCAGTTAAGGGTATCCTGCAGGTTGACCTCAACACTCCGAGTGATGTAGGTCATCAGGAAGACCTGTTAAAGCGTGAGATATTTCAGTAACTTCTCTAAAGCAAAATGTCTTGGATATTGATGACGTATTTTGTTCAATAAGTGTTGCTACCTGAGTGAGCACATCAGGACTCGGGCGTAACTTGTCCTCTGGATCCTTGAAGGTGAGGTACTCTTGGGTTCTGGCTGTAGCAGCAGAGATGCAGTTGCTGAAAAGATGTATGAACTCGTTGGGCCTGGGGACATTGCGCCTCTTTAGTGTAGCAAAGATGCTCGGTTGGGGGGATATATTATGATAAAAGGATGGTTGCCTGGATTGGCCACATTTGAAACAGGAAAACACGTTTCTCAGTGGGTTAGATGTAGGTTTGCTGAATTTTGCACCCATGGTCGACGGATGATGGGCAGCAGATCACAAGCTGGTCTCCCTGATACACTGGAAAGATAATGGTCAGATTTTGGTGTAAAATTTAAGCTGAAATGCACATACTGGTGCTAAAACATACTCAGATTTTCACATTAGTTCTAAATATAGATGAAAACAAACCCAGTTAAAAAAAATTAGAAATATCAGAGTTGGTCGTTTGAGAAAAAAAATGAGCCAACATTACATGTGGAAAATTCCAAAAACTGCAGTTCCTCCAATGACCATTTGAGGCTGACTCCTAAAGCAAATCATCCCTCAGAGACTCTTCTATGGATAGTTTCCCTCAGATTTTTTTTTTTTTAATAAAATAAATATTTCACATGAATACTTGAGTTAGTGGCATGGTCACTCTGACAGCTGTCCGGACACATGCAGCTGGATCCAATTGGAGTCTGCTAGGCTTCGGTTCTATTCATTAGAATCATTAAAAACGACCTCACGACTGTGTCTGTCAGTGCCTTCTAGTTCATAACAAAGACTGCTAGTGTTAGCCAATAACTTAGCACTCTTCTCTCTTCCAAATATGGTCCTCAAACCAGTGAATGACATCACAGCAGCTACGTCCATCCATTACCTTTAGGACAGCGTTGGTTTTGTGAAAAACCAGCCCTGGAGAAAGTGCAGGCTTCCTAAGTTTAAACTTAGATTTAGTTGCATATTTTTTTCTAAACAGAGGTCAAATGTTAACCTTTTACAGATGTGTAACAATGGATGGTTTTCTCAGTAAACAGACAACCCATATTTTGGATCCATTTGCTTAAATGGGTTTTCTTTATCTACTTTTATTAATTCTGAGGTCATATATACAGAGAAATGAAGAAAATTTAAAGGCTTCACAACCATTTAAGCACTGCTGTGTGACTGCTATCGCTTTATATTTAAATCAGTTGCATTTTTGAGGAGCAAAAGAACCCACTGTCTGTTCTGCTTTTGTCCCAGCACATGGAATTAGTGTCACTGTTCATTTATTTGAGAGCATAATTGACTCTGACACTACTTTCCACATTAAATATTGATCAGTTTCTGGTCCACCAGCGCGTTGCACATAAACAGAAAGAGCATTGTCAATCAGTAGATACTCACCAGGACTGGTCTGGGAGCTTCCACAGTTCCAAATACACTACATTTCCTTTCTTCTTCTCCCTCGTCCTGCTGAGATACACAGAGTCTGTGTGAGTGTTTTATGGTTGTTTGTGTCCTGATGTGTAGAGAACTTCCAGCAGAATACTGAGAATTTTCTGCTGAAGCAGAGTTTTCGCTGACAGTGGCAGCAAGGGTGTGGTGTTTGCATCTTGTCAAATTTTAGGTAAGTCAACAAAAGACTCATCTTACCAGTTAGCTTGGTGCAGCAGCTTGAGGACTGGGGTGAGCCTGAAGGGGTTGGCGGGTAAACAAAATGTGTAACTGTCTGCTTTTAGAAAGAAGCAGCAATGAGGACAGGTAGGCTGGGACAGCAACTTATAGTGTGGAGGCTCTCAAGGTCAGTTTAGGAAATGATAAAAGTTTCACAGGTGGAGAAATCCCAGATTTGACCAGTAGAGGTTAATGTAGGACTACAGTGAACTGTAATCCTACAAAACCGTTTAGAGGACCCAGTCTTATCATTTTTCTTTGATTTTTGTCAACCAAATATCACAAACTACTGTCCTACTGTTCCAGACTTCTACCATATATTTGGATGTGCTTTAAAAAGTTACTTGTAAAAGTAAATTTAGTAAAGTGTTCACATCACAGCTGGGGAGGGTTAAATGAACCATAGTAAATCCTGGTGTTAGTTTTGTGATCATGTTAAAATAGCTGAATAGCCATAGAAATTAAAGTCACAGAAACATACATTTATATGATGTTTCAGAGCAAAGTCCAGGTTTTGGCCACTTTTAGTATGCTGAAAACACTGTGGGATTAAATTCTTTTACAAGCAACCAGATTTCTCTTTCCTGTGCACAATCTTTGATCTCTACCTGTAAACTTATTCCCTTGAGTTAGGGAATGAAATTAAATTCATGATGGGTGTCCTCTTTAGCCAAACTGCAAAGCTGGATGTAGTATCCAAATGTTCAGGATTAATGGAGTCAAACAACAATAATTTAATATTTTGTCCATCTAATTTATATTGTAGTAAATTAAAAAAGTTATGTTTCATGATTGAAATAATGCAGCTTGTTCATTTTCATTAAATTTGAATTATATAGCTCCTGTTCACAAAAGTATGGGTCTTCAGGTATTTAGCTTAACCCCACGATCAGACAACACACAACTCACTTAGAGCAAGCTCTGAGTGAAGGTGGGGAAAAAGAACTTCCTTTTAACAGGAAGAGACCTCCAGCAGGACCAAGCTCAGGGAGGGGTAGTGCTCTATCATGGCCAGTACTACTTTGAGGCAAAAGAGGAGTTTCAACAATTTTTTGTTCCATACAGTCATTTAGGAAGCATTGGTAGTTCTTGTAACTTCTTTATTTCAACATGTGATATGTAGCATCTTTCTCTGCAGAACAATAGAATGACAATGTCGAGGAACCAGCTCCTTCTTCTTTGGCTGCTCTGCTCTTAAAAATGGCTTCAACACCATTTTTGATGGAATGTCCAGTTTGTCCATTCTAAACTGCATGTTCACTGCTTTGCACAGTCCTCCCCAATGAAATACCAGCACAGTATTTACAGTACACAGTGGTCAGTATGCTCATTAAAAGCTACATTGCATAGGGAAGGAAAGCAGTAACAAAAAAAGTGTATAAATAACTGTTCAATTCAGCACTCTAGAAAATAAAAATAAGACCTTTGATTGTTGTCAAAATGTGTAGGTCCGTTTGTGTTTCCCAGTCCTCTGTGCAGGAGTTAACTTGAGGTATCAGGGGCTAGTAGAAGTAAATACAAGGAGCTCCACGCTGCAGTGTTAGCTTGAGGGCTGAGGTACAATTCAGCTGTGAGACAGGTCGCTACAGGTCTTTGTGGTTGATTGACAGCCTACAGCTTAGGGTCATCGTCCTTCAAACTAGCGCCGTCTGTGAACGCCTCATCTCCTTCCGCAGCTCATCTCGGCTGAGCAGATACTGGGGGCAGAGCATCATGGGAGTGGCAATGGGTTAGAGAGATTAGAAGTTAGTGTTTGCTTCTGAGCTGGGGTCAGTATACTTTACTGAAATGAGAACATCAGATCCGATGTGAGATTGTTTTATGACATGTCACAAAGGAGAAGCATAGGTGGAATTTATAAAATGAAGATGCCCAACATGAAGATGAATCTGTAGGAAATCCTCAGACATGGCTACCTTGAATGTGTGACACTAACTCACCTTAGCAAATATGAACATTATTAATGTTTGTAAAAAGACTGTGCTTTTCATTCTATGACATCTTAAAAGGTCTGCTGTGATAAAAAGTATGCCTTGGTTATCGTCTCTCTGCTCTCTAGTGCAATGGAAGCTTGTTGATTCTAATTACTGTGATTATTTCAAATAATAAATCTGAGGTTTAAATTCGCCCTTCCTTGTTCTGATGTAACTCCTGCAGATTCTTGGACTTAAAATTTAACTTCAACTAATAAAAAGATATAAATAATGCTCAAATTTCTTTTTTTACCAAGATCTTCACTGATATACTGACGCTGCAAACGTGTTATCAAACATCTCAGACTTCAGTTACTGTCATGATTTTCTTGACTTGAACGAACAGAACAAATGCTAAAGAACCAAGCCTGGCATCTGGATGATAGCCGCAAGTAATAAAGAAGCAAGTACCAGCGAGCAGGTTTCACACTAGCAGCATTGCTTTAATTTGTACACAAACACAAGACGTGGTGTTTTAATGGCATTTCCATCTGAGTATCTGCAGTTTTCCATCTGAGTGACTCAAACTTCTCTTACAGCAGACTACAAGCAGATTCCCAGTGAGCGAATCAGCTGCACAAGTCATTAGGCAGCAGCTTGTGTGTGTTGGCGCTTACTGTGAGGTTGTTGATGCTTTCAGAAAGAGCTTCTATTTGCAAAATGGTACCCTCTGTGGTCTCCATCTGCAACACACACGCACACACACAGATTCCTTATAAACTCATTACAACTCACAATTACAGGCTTACTATCATCAAAACAATATGTTTCTTAAACCTTTTAAAATTACCGTAGAAAGATATGAAAACGTGCAACAGATCACTGATAATGAGGATTGTACCTGCAGCTGAGTCATAGTCAAACATGCACTTCCCATGTCACCTTTAACAGGGTTACCATGGTGATGATCATCAGCCATCTTGGCTCAGACCGCTCAGCCGAAGGGGGGAAACGTGGCGTCATAAACAGCAATGACAGCCACTGTGATGGTGAGAATGGAGATGATGATGATGATGGAAGCAGGTTAGTGCTTGATGTAGGTTATTAAGGCATGCTGCTGCTCGTGGCTCCGCCCAGCAGCGTAGTCTGTTACGTTATCTTACAGAAATACAGAATATGCTTCCTGAGGAATTCAGTGTTTTCCACATGAAGTCACCTAACTCTTAGTTTGTGAGTTCAACCACATTAACAGGCAGCACGCTTTGACATTGGCAGGGTAGCCGGGTCACTGTTGTTGCTGTCTTGATGTCACTGAGCTATTCTCCAGTCAGTCTCTTGTTCCCGCGGTGAACAGATTCCAACTCTACCACCTCGGACTGCTGGTAAAGGTAATCCCTGTTCTAAACTGGAAAACTGCTGTCAACTGGAAGTTGAAGCAGAGGGACAGCTGGTTCTGGTTACTAACCTGAACTTACTGCGGTTATATGCAGCAAGCCAGAAATGCCAAATATCACTTTGTGAACTGATGATGTTACAGAGCAGAACAAGAGCTGGAGTCGCTACATGCGGTAAATTTTGAGTCCTTACATAGAATGAGAAATTGACTTTAATGGCAACAATTTATGGCTCTTATAAGTTAAGACAGCATGGATGTTCCTCCTTTTGCACGTGCAATCTACCTCTGTGGGAAACACTGAAAATGTCCAGTACAGGCCCCTATACCGATGTACAACTAAAAACTAAATAAATAAAGGACATTGAACATTTTACACATCTGCTTCTACTCTGATCATCAGAAAGAATGAATCAACTTTGCTCATGTCGGATTTTGTTTATTAAATGATTTGATAAACCACACGTTAGCTTCCTTTCTTTGCTATAAAAATACTATTACAGTCAAATATGAAAAATAACGGTACAAAAATCACCACCTCAAGTTTCAAACAAAACATGCTATTTTATGATTTTCTCTGCAATGATATAAATAAAATCCCTCCATTATTTTATGTAAATATTGCACAAGTTCATCTCGACCATGTAACAGAACTGCATTCAACCTGGTTAGAAAAATCAAAGGTCACACATAAAAAATAATCTACTGGTGGTGCACACATGTTGGCTTAATACTGTACAAGAAGACATGTCTGTATATGCTGTATGGATTACAGGAAGTGATGTCACAGGAATCCAGAGAGAGGCTGTGTTCTCTCGTGATGAGTTAAGAGTCATGGCACAGGTTTGAGGCTGAGGTTGGGTTAGTTAGGCATCTGACCGGAGCTGAAATCAAAATACTTGAATTGTGCTCGTCTCAGGACTCCCTGCAGCGTGACAAGCAGCTGACTGAGAAACAATCTCTAAATGTAAGGCACAGGGTCGGGCTGATGGGCGGGGCTTAAAGAAGCACATCAGGGGATGGACTGAGGTATTATGGGCTGCAAGCAAAGGAAGCAGAGTAGTAGCAGAGATAGCTGAATGGCTAATAGACAGGATGACAACAGTCATCCGTGTTGTTGGCGTTACAGTTGTTGCCATGGAGATGGGTCGGCTCTGCTATCTTCTAGCCCCACCTGGTCCCTGGAGCGGTCAGGCTCTCGGTCTAGGATGGGGCTCAGGCCTCTGAAGCCAGTGTAGGGCCGCATCTGCACCCCGTTCACTGCAGACTGTCCCGACTGAGGCGAGGAGGACTCGATGGGGCAGACATAGTCTGTAGATTCATCCGGCCGTCTCCTCCTGAGGTGAGTCAAGTTAGAGAAGCCCAACTTCTTCGGCTGCAGTGAAACAGGAACAAAAGCATCGTCATGCTGTCACGCTTCAACAAAGCAACAGTGACTGCTGAGAAGACTTTTAATGTTAGAACAATGTGACTAATGATAGGCTCTACAACAAGAAGCAACACGTTTAAAGCGTGCCAATCACTACTCCTACATCAACAATGTCAATAAGAATGATTACCCAACTCACTGATGTGATTTTCTTTACTGATTTGCCATCATTAACAGCTGCAGGCAACTAAATCTTTGATAAAACTGCACGTCGCGTGTCAAGCATCAAACCACAAACAGATGTTGTGACTAGCAGCTGAACTTTATGGAAGATGCAGCCGCCTGTTGAGGACTATATGGAGACCAAAACAGAGCTAAAAGGAGATTCCTTAGATGTTGTAGATTAAATGTTATTGTTACAAGTTATTCAGATGCAAACTGGAGATCTTAACACCAACACTACAAAGGGGTGGACTCCCAGTCCTATGCACAAAAACTACAGCAAGGACAAACAACTCTGAGAGCTTCCTTGATCAGATTTAAATCAGGTAATGGGGTTTTTGGTTCCCTGGTTCTTTTGATCACACCTTGGAAACTTGAGATGCACTGAATATCTTGAATACTTGTAATTCAACTGATACACTGCACTGGTATTACTGCCAAGTGAAAAGACCAGAGCAGCATGAAAGGGAAGCTGGCATTGCAGTGGGCTGCAAAGGAGCTTGCAGCTAAAACGCTATTTCTGAAATGCAGGCTGACACTGAGATCAAAACAATGCTGTGCTCAGTTTTGTTCCATTTCCTGTAATCACATCTGTATGGATTTCCCTAATATCTGCTATTTTTTGTGTTTAGTAGATGTGAATGAGGGACACCGGGCAGCGACACACAACAACATTCATCAAATGTGTCCTCTAACATCTGTGTTATCGTCACAAAGCACTGCTGGATTTTACTTCATAGCTGGCTCATCTTGAGGGGAAAATCTAACTTAACAATAACAATTTCATTTTGGGATTTTTTTCCCATCCACAGTATTATATACCTCCACAAAAACATCCACATACATACTTCCTGCATTAGATGTCTAAGTGTCCAAGATCATAAGTGGATCAAATGCAAGCGTGAATTCTCTTATGATGAATTATTCTTCTATTATTACTTAATTATTTTCTTCAAGAGGCACTTTGAGCTGACGCTGTGGCTGATGGCTGAGTCTTAAAGATGTGAGGAGCAGCAGAGCAGTTCTCACTGGCTTAAACTTTTGGAAGAGCTCGGAGATTAAACCGAGCTGACACACTGAGGTCTCACCGTGGATTAAGGCGCTTTTCTCACACTTGCAGGGAGAGGGAAGGTGTTAACTGGTCTCTTATGATGCCTTATTTTACCTACTGCCTGTGCTACTCTGAGCTTTATAATTGAGTCTTTTCTTGTATTTTCTTACCTTGACTTTAGCGGTGATGCTGAGTGGGGAGTATCCTGTCGCCTCAGTGTACTCCCTCTTCTCCTGCTGAGCCTGTGCTCCTACTAGGTTGTTGAAGTTGGTGGTTAAGTGGCGCCTCAGCAGAGTTTTCTGAGGAGGGATGTTCAGCAGCATGGCCATGCTATCAGAGTTAAACCGAGGCTCCAGCATCTATTTGAGGAGAAATGATGTCAGATGCTTTTTAAATTCTTGTTTTCCATTTTGCTCCAGATGCCGGCTGCTTTTATGTACTCACTATCAGCCCTCCATGCACGCCGCTGCCCCTCAGGTTTGGGGCATACTCTGCAAGGTCCACAGATCTCAACCACTCCATGACTCGGTGGTTAGACCACTGGACAACCTCACTGGGAGTGAACTGGCTCTGTAACACACACAAATGAATGTATTTTTTGTTCTAGTTTGACTTTTTAACAGTTTCCCAGCCTTACAAAGTGATGTTTTCTGGCAAATTTTGTTTGCACGAACTGATTAAAAAAATACAAACCAACATAGTTATATAAACTGTACTCAGTCTGCATGTGCAAATGTGGCACAAGTGGATGTCCTATTCTGACCACCAACATGTGCATCTGTGAGCAGGAATCTATGAACTTAGCTAACTCTGATGTGACACCATGTGATGCCACACACACATACAGGTAGTCAGAACAAGGACTTCCACAAGTGATGACCTTGAACGGGTGATCAAGTTTTTGACTTTCATGGATGGAGTCTTTATGAAAAATGCGTGAGATACAAATACAATGTACAAAAAGAACTTACAAAGAAGAAGACAGTGGATCTGATTTGAAGTTTTAATTTAAGAGTTCACTCACTAATGGCTCTTTTGCCATCTTTGTACTTTGCCGTATAAATGAGTTAACAATACCTCATTGCCGGGCCTGCGTTTGAGGCAGTTGGGATTGAATTTGTTGACATGGAGAACATGAATGGCACACTTGATGCTGAGGTGGTGCAGCTGGCTGGTCACTTTAAGGAATAATAAGTCGTTCTAACATGGAGAACAGAGACAGATACAAGAAGGGAAACATGTCATACATCCCTTTTATTTTTGGGCAACTGTAAGCTCATTCCCCCCATATGGTAACGCTGATTTAACTTCACATGAATTGATTAGTTACAAACTCACCACAGTGAGATACTGCAGCATCTGCCCATCCACTCTTCCTTCATTAAACTGGTCTTTGTACTGAGGAAGGCCAATATCATCAAGCCAACCTGGAACAAAGAACATAACTGTTTTCTCGGAGATTTTCCCATATGTGTGTCTGTGCGTATGTGAGAGAAAGAATCCTTTACATACGGGTAACCCAGAGGTAATCGAGCTCTGCAGATTTTTCAGGCTGTTTGCTACTGATCGCTTTGATGGACAACTGAAGCTTCTTCCTGTGGAGTGGATTCTTCATGGCCATCTCCTGTGGACAAAGAGAAACGATTGGCTTTTTCCTCCTGTTACAGTTTAGTCAAGTCAACCAGATATAAAAGCAACATTGGTCAAAGTGCTGTACTACCAAAAAAGAACTCTTTAGAATATCAAAATTAATAAAATCTTACAAATAAATAAAAGCAAATGTTGAGGCTTAGTTTAAAAGCCAGTGTTTTGAATGGATTTTAAAACATTTCCAGTGTTGATTAGGTTCTGATGTGAATAGGTAAACCACAGTTTAAAAGCGACAGCAAGGGTCCTGTCGTAAAGGTTCTTCATGATTTTATGTAGCTAGGCAGCGATGTTCTGGAGCAGCTGCAGATGTGAAATCAAAGACTTGCTTACACTCAACTATTGCAGTAGTCGCCAAGTAGTATGTCAAAATACTACAACTCCCATGCCATTAAGAGTGGGGAGAAGGTCTGAACAACAGAACCTCTGCTATCTCTTCGTAAAGTCTAATGACATCCATTTTTAGCGTGTACGATCAGCAAAGGTTGTAGCATTACTGTAGCATCAGTGCATCGTCTGCATAGTGAAGTGCTGTAATGAACGGCGGACCTTTTTTTTTAAAAATTGACCCTCATAGTCGAATGTGGAATGATGCTGAAATAACTCCAATAACAGGCAAAACATGAAAGAGTTTTCCAAATTCTCCAAAGTCTCCTATCTGTGAAATTATTGTTTAAAAATATTTTAGTGCTTTATACATTCATCGAACAAGTGAAAAATCCCTGGTCAGATCATGGGAGGAGACGCAAATCCCTTTAGGTTCGCGTCAGGAAAAGCATCCAACATAAAACAAATCTGCCAAATATAACTTGCAGAGCTGCTGCAACAGCAGCAACCATCCATTCGCTCATCCTTTTCAGGGTGGTGGGGGGGTGCTGGAGCCTATCCCAGCTGTCATAGGGCGAGATATACCCTGGTTGCCAGTCTGTCTCGGGGCTAGCACACAGGGACACCATTTGCTCTCACATTTACTCCTGTGTTTTGGACTGTGGGAGGAAACCACGCATGGGGAGAACATGCAAACTCCACACAGAAAGATGGTGGAATTGAACTCAGGACCTTCTTGCTGTGAGGCAACAGTGCCAATGACGTGCCACCGTGCTGCCCGTGCTGCAGCAACCCTTTGTGAATAAAGCAACAGGTTGAAGTAGCCTCTTCTACTGCAAAAGTGGTTAAATTGGCAGATAATGTGGAGCACCCATAAATTAGTAAACCTGCAAAATATTAATTCAATCATTGATAAAATGACTGACAATCTGACCATCCATCCATCTCCTTCCGCTTATCCGTGGCCGGATCGCGGGGGCAGGAGCCTAAGCAGAGAAGCCCAGACCTTCCTCTCCCCAGCCATCTCCTCTAGCTTGCCTGGGGGAACATCAAGGCATTCCCAGTACACCCAGAAGGTGCCCAGGAGGCATACTTGTCAGATGCCTGAACCACCTCAACTGGCTCCTTTGGATGTGGAGGAGCAGCAGCTCTACTCTGAGCCCCTCCCGGATGGCTGAACTTCTCACCCTATCTTTCAATCTGACTATCTGATGGTAATTTCATTGAATTTAAATGATTAAACTAACCTTTTAGTAATAAAAGCCATTCAAGTTCTGGTTGCACCTAAATTTAAAGAAATACTGCAAGCTGCATACCATAAAGGACAAATCTGAAAAGTATATTCAAAGACCCACTTTCTATTAAAAAGATGAAGAATTTAATGAAGAACAACTTAAAGAAAAATAACAAAATGGTCAAAAACCAAGGTAAACACAGTACATAAATAAACAAACAGTTGTGTACTCCTAGCAGAAGGATATATAAGGTGAGGTATTTAAAAAGAAAAACAGAAACTCCTGATACGGCGATCCAAGGTTTGACAGTTTCCATGGATCACAGTATTAATATAGATTAACCCGAAGAAAGAAACAGAACTGATCAAAATGATCTGGATGAGATGCAGAGAAAGGTTGGAGGTGGAGATGAGGTGTATGATGTGACAGTGTTGAAGGCGAAACTAAAGAGCTGGTTGAAAGGCAGAGGCAGGCGTTACTAAAGACCAAACAAACAGACAGACGGCAACAATGATCAGACAGGTAGAAATGGAAAATATGTGACACGCTGTATGGAAAACCAACACAGTGTGATTGTTTGTGCCGGTTGTCTTAGAAGCATCACTTTAGGAACCACACTCTATAAAGCAGTGATGTGTGCGTTTGAGTGTGTATACCTTCTCTAGGTCTTGTGGCGTGGCTGATAGCAGAGTCTGACCGCTGGTGACCCACTGGCGAGCGAGGATGCTGTACTGACCTAGTCCAATGTCTTCAATCCAGTCACACACCTGCTCTGTGTTCCACTTAGAAAATGGCGTCTTCAGATCTCTGCATAGGAACAAAACACCAAAAAGTGAACCGTGCACCTAATCACTACTATTCACTTTATTAATATAGATATTTTATTAATTAATATACTGTGTTTTCCCTGGACGGGCCAATCGAGGTCCAGCTGTAGCTCTGAATCCTCCCCTCTTGAAGTCTCCTAGCTCTGGGTCATGAACTTGGACAGGACTACCCGACTGACTGCGACGGATCCTTGCAGACAGAAATGAGAACATGAGTATAAATATAAAAAGTTTAGGACACCAAACATGTTGTTAAGTGTGTGCTCTGTATATCCTTAAAACATACTTCCCCCAGAGTTTCCTAATTCCTCTGTGACCCTTCCTGTTCTCTGGTGAGACAGGAGACTGCTGTCCAGAGTCCACTCCAGAGGACAGCGGGGACTGGTCTGATGGAAAGCACTCCTCCAGCTTCTCTGAATGCTCTGCCACAGGGAAAAAAACAATGAGGAGGGGAATCACTGCAGGAACCTGAGGGGAGCTCTGGGATCCAGAGTATCTGTGTTTCCTGCTATGGACAAGAACAACATGAACATCTGCTGCTCCAAATTAAATCACACGTACGGGAGATTGTTCTGTTTGGAAAATTGACCGTCTCACATTGAGATTTTTCATACATGCAATAATAAACCACTTTTTGTACAGCACTACACCTTTTATGTGCACCAAACCAACAGTTTGAAATTCCCAGTAAGGTCCTCTATTTCTGATCACAATATTAAAGCTCCTACTCATACCTATAGTCACTGTTCTGGAATTACTTTCCTGGCTACTTCTAGGTCATAGGCTTTGTGTTTAAGCAAATATTCAATACTAAAACCTACTACAAATAGTCAAAGGACAACTCAAAAAGAGATTTAGGATTACTCTAAAGAAATCCCAAAACACAGCACAAACACTACACATCCAAAGACAACACAAAAGTAACCAAGTGACCACAAAGACACAAGAGAACAATTGCAAAAAGAAGGCTCTATACACAAAAACAGAATTTCACTACAAAAGAGACACGAATTTGTGTCTGAGAGAGAGACAGGACTACCTTAGAGAACACAAATAACCATAAAGATATGCAAAAGACAAAACAAAATAACAAAAGAAACAAAGCTCCAAAGATTTGCATCCCACAGTGACCACAGAGATGCTAAATTGCTGCAAGAAAGGCCTTAGACAAGGCTAGAAACAAATCTGAAACGTCTGCAAAAAACATAAAAAAATATACCAAGTGACTTGGTACAACCAACAACACAAAGAAACAGGAAGATGCACAGAGCAGCTGGAAAAAAGACACCAAAGGAAAACAGCTACTAAGTGGAACAAAGACATAATTGTTAGAAAAAGACTCAAAACTACAGTTTGTGTGTCTTTCTCCTATGTTGGAGTGCTTACTGTGTCAGAATTCAAATGTGGCTGTTAAACTGTCCAATATTTGACAGTGCTACATAAAATGATGCAGATAACCTATTTAGCCCCAGAAACAGACAAGCTGGCAAATTCTTCTCAACAGGTTTGTAAGACTCCTACACTTAGGGGTGAAATGATATACCCACCAACATCATAGAGGTCATGTTTTCCAGGAGATCCTGATGCAGAAGAGGTTAGTTAAGTGAGAAGGATGCAAGCAGAAAAAAAGCAGAAGGCATTATTAGTCAAAGCGTCTTTATCTCCGAAATAAATGCTGAATACATGTTTGATTGTAAAGCAGAGCTGTTGACGGTTAAGTCTTTAGAAGTACTCTAAATTACTGCTTCAAGCCCATTACTCTAAATATCTGTCTCAGTTAATATGCGCTGACCTCTGAATATGCATGCTAGTCCATGCTACATCTATCCATCCTATCTGCCACTCAGCAGTAGGATCAAGAATATCTGCCCAAAAACTCTAGAACCAGAAAACGATTTTCTAAGATAAGTGCAAAATATACAGGGTTTCTTAAAAGTCCTTGAATAAGAACAGTAATGTATTTTAAATAGTGCTCTCATAGACTGTATAGAAAGGATGGACACAGCCAACACAGTACCACAGACTGGTTAGTGCAGCCTTGTTGTGAAGGATCAAAATGAATGTTCTCCCCACAACAGTCTTCAGATTGTGAAACCTATTTGAAGCAGCTACCTTTTGATTTTGAACACTTGCTCCTTCAACAGGGAGCATCAACTGTGGACTGTGAGCGAGTGCAACCCCAGTGAGGCCACGAGAGCGAGTGGGAGCGGATGTCAGATTGCATCCTTCTTTGTTTACTTTGGGGTGTTTTAGCTAGTTGAACTTCATACATACTTAAGCTTGCACTCCTCGCCCTCTCGCAGTCCTCTGATTACCCTCCTGCCTTCTTAAGCTCTGGCTCTGTGTACGCAGATATACGGGTGGCCGTGTGCTTTTATGCCTATTAGCTTTAAAGCGTATGTTTAATTCAGCAAATGCTGATGCGAGAGAGGCGGGCATTATCTTCGACAGCTCTCTGAGTCGTGAGGGAGTCCTAATAATCCTGGGCTTTAAAGCTGCTTCATCCTCAGCGAAAACGGCTGCTCACCCTGACTCCGCTCACCTCTCAGAAAATCTTGTTTTGCTCACAAGATAGGTGATGCTTTTGTTTGCTCAAAGAGGCTTTCTCTCAGTGACTTCACAGTCACAGAAACACTGCGTTTCAGTTCTTCTGAAAGTGTATTTTCAGTTTTGACATTTGCGTTTCTGTGAGGGCATACAGTACCTAAAACCGGAGCACTGGCACTCCTGCAGCGAACTGCAGTCAGAGCACAAACAGGAGACAAGAGCAATCCGACAGCAGAGCAGGCATGAGGAGGAGGAGAAAGAAAAGGCACAGAAAGGAAGCAGTGGGCGAAGAGTTAGTTGACAAAGACAAAAAATATTTTTGTTTTGTTTTGCTTTGCAGTGCCAAATGATCTGTTCACTAAAATCACTTGCTTTATATTCCAAGGAAAAGTTACACAAGAGGGGAAATATGCATGTTGGCTTTCTTGCAAAGCTAAATAAGATGTGTACGGTCACTATGAAGCTACAGCCAGAAGGCTGCTTGATTAGCTCAGCCGAATAAATGTATTCCCCAAAATATACAAACATTTAAATTTTTCCCTTGAGTGCAAGGTCATGCAGATTTTTTAGATTTAAATTACAAAGAGCGAGAGACCTGCATTTGAGATTTCACAGATTAAAACATGGTGCTTAACAGATACAACACTAACTCAGACTGTAGTCCTGGCTGTGGCTGTGGACAGGCGAGAGCTGGACGGGAGATAAATACTCTCCGTCTCCGTCGCCGTTCAGCTCGGCCCGCGGCTCGTTCTTTTTACTCAGTTTCCCCGGCAGAGTTTGGTACTTGTTCAGCTCCATGTGGGGATTCTGTACAATATAAAAAGCAAACAGTGTGTTACTCTTTCAGCCAAGTCTGGCATCACATTCCAGATATAATCTTAAAATGTATACAATTCAATAAATTCACTGCAGCTTTGAATCTAAAATGATTTTCAGACACCTCTGACTCTAACAAAGTGGACACCTTAATCTCTGTAGTGTTGCTATGTGGCTCCGATTCTCTTTTTTTACATTCTTCTTTAACTACACTGAAAGTTAGTGGCTTTACCCGATGGCTTTCATAAGATCACAGCGGGGCCGTGAGGTGATTTGTGTTTTTCCTCTGTTGCATAACCGTCTGTCCTTTAGACAGTGAATGTCTGATGATGCTGGAATATAACCGCACATTAAAGTCATCGGGGTCTGAGAGAATAACTGGAGAAAGGCCAGCAGAAAGAAACAGCTGGGAGGCAGCTGTGATGTCAAGTACTAGCGACAGCCACTTCAGGTGGGTCTTGGCCCTTTTGTGTGAGTGTGTGTGTGTGCGCGTTTGTGTGTGTGTTTGTTAGTGTAGACGCAGTATGATTATACGATTATATATTGACTATAATGCACTGTGAACTTGTCATGCTGAGAACAAGAGGTCAGAGGGCACCAGGACAGTTACATCACTGTTTGCTATAAAGCACAACATTACTACACATTCTAGCAGTTTATAAGTGGCCTCACAGAAAAGACGACAACGCTGTGAGCTTGTTTTTGTCTATTATAGCCCTCGAACATATCACTAGGTCATCAGTCATTACTTGTTGATGTAAGTGCATCGGGTATATTTAAGAGATGCTTTGCCTTGTGTGGATCTTTTTATGCAGCCATATAACTACTCACACAGAAACTACTCCATTACTTTTTGCTTTTCTGTTACATCTCTCAGTACTCTGCCTCTTTCTGTATGACGAACACTCTGTGTACTTTCAATGTATGATAATTAGTATGTTCAAGTCTTAATTCATATGGCTTGATACTAATTAGTATGTCCCCTTGCCCTTGATTGGCTCCTCCACTTGCCTGTCCTGCTGCTGCCTCCTTCCCCTGCACCTGATTGGTTCCACAGTAGAACGTTCTTTACTGCTTATTAAAAGATCATTTCACCCTCCTGCTAGAGAGCTGGGGTCCAATCTCTACTTAACCTTTATTTATTAAAGTTACTTTTTTTAAAGTTAAAACTTAGTATTAAAGTGTTTCCTGTTATTTGTGAAACACGTATAATGAGGATGGATGACTTGCTGGCACAAACCAAATAATGCGAACCTGTTAGAAATCACTGAATAGGATAGAAAAAGGAGCGCATCATTCTAGACATTTTAGACTATTTGTTTACTTATAATAACTACAAAATAACAGAAAATTTAGGAACTCTTAGAGGAAAGTTGCCCATTACCTGGACAAAAACAGTCACAATCACATTTTATAGCCAACAAATATTTTACCCTTTCATAAATAAATAGATTTTCTGCTTGAAAAATGTAAGCTGGTGGCCAAAAAGAAGTCAAAAATCATCAGGTGAATGACGTGATAGGTGAAAATTATGTTTGGCATAAAAAAAAACAGCAAAAGCAAGAATGTGGTCATGATCCAAATTTTAGAGGGATATATGTGAATATATCTTTAGATACAGTTTCTTATCAATCGGGGGGGGGGAGTTGGTCATGAAGATTAGTTAAGGAAGGAGAGAAGGAAAGTGGCCCTAATATATCCCTGTGGCCGCTGTAATAAGAACTGTCTGAATTCTCTTAATACTGAAGAAAAGGTGCTTCAGTGCTTCATTTATTGCCTCATTTAACAGAGGAAACCCTAATCCACCCTTTCTGAAAGGAAAGGTGATCATCTTGACAATTCAAAGCATCGCACGTCAGACCATTCACAACAATAAACGATCAAAGTAACTGACGTTTGGTGCAGATTATCACATAAATAAATCCTGCTTTCTTATTACATAACATGCAAATATGTGGATATGTTTTAGCCCAAAGCTGGACTATGAACCACTCTGTTAAAATTCTTGCTTTAATCAAGGCAACGACTACAAAGGATCATCTCTTTAGTCGAAAGAGAAAATACGAGTGGACAGCAGGGTGAGATTTCCTGCGGGGAGTCTACACAGGAGAAGATTAGTGATGTAGTAGAGACGAGAGACCACAGAACGTATGAACCTGTAGTTTCGCCAAGTAAGATAGCCAATGTGATATGAGCAGGTGGTGGCGACTACATTAAAGGGTTACCTCAGTAAGATTCACTGTGTTGTTCATTTTTATACAGCCTGCATAAAACAACAAGGTAAAAACAGACAAGGCAAAGTATCCAATATGTGTTTGAAGCTCTTTTTGTGCCACGCCAACATTTTAATGAGCAGTCGGATTCTCTTTTCCTTATGAAATTACATCTTCCCCTGACTTCATGGTGTTTTCCATACAGGTCATGGAAAAACTGATTAGGAGTCATTTTTTTTGACTATTTGGCCACAGCCCAAGTCTTGTTTATATTTTGATTTATTTCATCTTCTTTACAAAAAATATATACTAATCCTGCAATCTAAAGATGTATAATGAATACATGGGATTTGTGTAGCTAAATGTGTGACATCATGTTGCAGATCAGTACCTCGGCCCCTACATCTGATTCACTTTCAAGTGGCTGGATCTCTACAGCCTACAGCCAACAGAGAGACGGGAGAGACCAGAGAACACACACACACAAACCCAGAATTAGAAGGTTAGCAATCACACAGTCAGATTAACAGGACGTTAAAGATTAGCTAGAAAGGACTGATTTAAAGTACTTTTTAGTAAGCAGATGTGATAGGCTGGATTAGATAGAGATTAGTATGTTTATATTAAACAAGCGAATCGTGGAGGCAAACACTAACAGACCTTTTGTAAAGATCCACTCTGCAACTCTTCAAGACTGCTGGACATCAACCGGCGTCGATGCCTGCAGAAAAAATATTGTATCTATGACATCTGGTTAAGCAGACGTACACTTTGAATGTGCTTGTACTGTAGCAGGGCTTACCAAGACCCATTAAACAAACTTGGGTCAGCAGCGGACACCAGCGATGTCTCCACAGAGTTCTGGAAACTGCAACAGACACCGCACAGAGTTAACTCAGAGTCTGGCGTTCATTCATCGCGTACAGTACGTGCACTGCACGTTCATACCTGAAATCCAAATCCCTCTGATACGGCGATGAGGACAACATAAGCGGTGACGATCCTCTTGATGATAGCTATGAAGGAAAAAACATTTTTTCAAAGCATTTGTGGAAGTGAGATTATTAACCCAATAATTCTTTGACTTTTATTTAAAATTTCTTGTGAATCCTACCTCTGATCTGAGGATGTCAGAGTGTGCTTTGTGAGTGATGGCTTTGAGCTTTAAACTGCCGCTCAGCTCCTCTTCACTGCTTCCTGGTAGATAGAAACCAAAACAATTGGCGGCATAGTGACGTTAGAGAGAAAAGACAGGTTTCCAAGCAGAAACTCACAATACAGAAAAAGGAAGCTCACCCTGCGTGAGTGCCATGACCTCCCTCATCTTTCTGTATTGGCTGAGCAGAATGGTAAGCTCCTCTATACGCCGATCCTGTTATCACCAAGGCAGAAATGGTCATTCTCTTTTTATTTAACCTTGTTGTAAATTATATATATTGTAGCAGTGGCAAAAATTATTTCATTACCTTCTCGTCATTTGAAGCCAACAAAGACTCCATCCCCACCTTTAACCTCTGGTATTCCTGGTCTAACAAAGAAGACAAAGAAGTTAAAAAGGATCCTATTGTACCCTCACGCTAGCTAGTTAGATCAGGGCAGCTGATGGGTGCACGAAGCGGTGCTGGTGACAGACACGAGAGCCGTGCAAATAGGACTAATCAAGCAAAACAAATACATGCTGACAGCACAACTGCCCATGCAGCATCACCTGGGACACACGTGGAAACTGAGCATTGTCAACAGCACCATTACCGAGAGAAGAACTAATGAGGCTTGCATCAGTATCAGCCACACAAACACGAGCCGGCACCAGATTTCATTTAACATCCTTTCAAATGCAGAAACTTATCTAAATGGGATTTTTTTTGTTTATTCAAACGACTCAGCTTTGAAATGATATGCATGTCATCGGTGGCTTTAGAGCAGCATTTATAAGGCAACAAGAAAGCAATGAACTGCAATATGACAATGCCAGGAGGAAAAACAAAGCACAAAATGTCAGGATACTGCAACGCTCTCTGGTGACTCCTCCTGCAGGAATCAATAAATTAGTTGCATAGTTTTATCTACTACTTGTCCCACTCTCTTCTGAGATTTTCTTTAGATGACATGTTTATATTATAGTCCTCTCAATGTGCTTGTTATGTTCTATTTACTCAGATTTGAATCTATTTTTTTACATGCCTCACTGTGTGCATTTATCAGCGTGTTTGTGTGGTACTTTTATACTGTACTTTATATTCTATGTGTTCTTCCCAAACCGGAAGGCACTTTGGGTGAACTCCTGTTAAATAAAGATGATTCGATGTGGTATAAGAAGTTTGCACAGGACAGTGGACGCTGCATAGCCTGACACTCTTCTGAGTCTTTTTGATTTGAAAGGATGTACAGGCTCACATCACAGACACACACTGAAGCTTAGCTGTGGTCCACATTCCCGATGAAGAGACTACTTAGCCTCGACATTTAAAGTGTTTCCCTGTTTGGTTTTAAGTTTCACATTTGAGTCATAAATGACCAAAACAGAAAAATCCAGCTGTCCAGGAGGTTGCTTAGAAATTAGCCCCATTAGCAACATAAATGCCTTACATTTGTTAATCAGATGCTTGATATACACCTCCTCTACAGCAGAGGGCAGCAAAGAGTGGAAAAAACACAAGCCAAGTGGAGAACAGAGAAGAGAGGAACTGTTGATTAGATGTTACAGTAATCAGAGTTGACAGACGTGCACATCGCTGCCTCTCACACATATCTGCACTGACAGATTTGATTGGTCAGACTGTCAGCTGAGTGTACCTCTCTCTGCGTTGTCATTGGCGCTGCCGCCTCTGGCCAGCAGCTGGGTCTGTAGGCACACGATCTCAGCATCTTTGGAGGCCAGGAGCTGCTGCAGCTCTGAGATTTCTGCCTGTGGAGGAAGTCAGAGTAGATGTCTGTGAACTGGGTCGATCTTCCAGGTCAGTGGATGTCTGTGAGCTGTAAGTGTGAAGCAACTAAGCAAATCATTTTTCTTAAAAAGGAATCATTTCTAAAAACCAACCAGCCAACTGATGAGCCATCAGAGTAACACATAAAATGAGTTGTGAATTCTGAGATTATTCTATATTATCATCATTATTATTATTATTATTTGGCACTGAGCACCTTCTTTCAAATAAAAACTACACAATGGAAATATAAAACAAGCACTGAAAGCCACATGTAGCCACAAGTTATTTTGGTTTTCTGCTTTAAATCAACCCCACTATTTCACTTTTTTACAATACTTTGTTAAAACAAACTCTACCACAGCTTTCGCCACACGATCTAAGGAACCTGCATCACCACTCAAGCATCTATCCAATGGAAGTATTTCTGGCAAAAAAACACAATTTCTGACACGTACTACAGTCTCCACCCTCAGCTGTTTACTGTAACATGACTGACATTACTGCATTGTAGGGATGGGTATCGAAAACCGGTTCTTGTTGAGAACCGGTTCCCACTGTTTCAATTCCTTGGAATTGTTTGCCATTTTTGCAAACGATTCCCTTATCAATTCCAGTCGCCCCGAATGACGTCACCATGTTCCAGAGCATCATTTACCTGGCAGGAAACACGGCGGCTCAGTCGCTCAAAAGTTTGGTTATACTTTACGAGAACAGATGACAACAGGGCAACTTGCAATACTTGCAAAGTAGATATTTCATTTAAGGGAGGAAACACTACGAATATGCAAAAGCATTTGCTCACAAAACACACGATAACCTTAAATGAATGTCATGTTTTTAATCCCGCTCGACTCGTGAATCTCAACCCAGCAGCAGCGGTAACGTTTGCACGTCCTCTCCCGTTAATGCGGCAGGTAAATAATCAACTAACAGTTCATATTATGTTAGCGCGATCTGCCTTATTACAAACCTGCCATTACTGTGCATTTAGGTGATCATGATGAGAGAGACAGACAGAGTCTGGCTCAGATGCTGGCAGTTGTCGCTGCAGCGGTGTGTGTGTCCGGTAGCGTCTCCTTTCAGGCCGGGATAGACGAATGTCACCGAGCAGTGTCTGAGTTTGTGGTAAAAGGCTTGAACCCATTTGCCACAGCAGATGCCCCGATTTTTGGTAAGTGAATGTGTTTAATTGTAGGCAGGGACATTACTGGATATTCTTGTGTAATTGCTACAGAATAATTTATGTTATACTTTGTTATTGTTACAGAAGAATATTTATTTTATTATTTTGTATTTACAATTTTTTTTTCCTGGGGACTCTGTGACCCCATTGAAGAGCCATAGGCTGGATCTCGTAAGATCTCACTGTTGGGTTTGTAAGGCCATGTTACTCCTAAATTTCTATCTTGTTCAAAGAGAAGATATAAAACAAAGTTCTAAGCTAATCGACCTCTGTGTACTCCTTTTTCTTTTTTAAAGAATCGATAGGAGAATCTATAAAGAATCAAATCGTTAAACAGAATCGAAAATTGAATCGGAATCGTGAAAATCTTATCAATACCCATCCCTACTGCATTGTGCCCAAACAGCTGAAAATGAGGCCAGGACGATGTGCCATAAACTGCACTTGGCTGTGGGAAGACTTCTTAACAAATTTATAGCATAGTACAAAAAGGTTTTGACAGATTGTTTCCTCTGAATAATTGGTTCAGTTTTGTTGAATGACATTCTGATATTTATTTGATCTATCACTAAGCAAATATGTGTGTTTCTGTGCACTGCATTCATACAGTTTACGTAACTTTAGCTTACTAGCATTATCTGATAGCATAGCATGCCACCTTCTCATGCTAATATAGTTCTTTTTGGCTCCAAAAACAACATGGCAATGGTCAAACAAACAAAATTTGAGGTCCAGGAAACAATAGGTGGCATCACTTTCATAATGTCCATCTTTTATATACAGATGGTGTAAAAACTACATTGTTTTTGTAGATTTGGGGCAGAGGACATATTTAAAGCCCCACACAACACAGAACACCCCCACATATGTGCGTTTGTTTTATGTGCATTTGTCCAGGTGAACTTTTGTTCTCCGGCCAGTAGTGACAACTTTCAAGAATAACCATTTCAAGATTATCAATCACGTCCATCTTTTATATACAGTCTACAGCCTAGTGACTAAGAGCTAAGAGCTCAGTCAGACCTCTCATCACTTTAATTGAAGCCAACACAAACGGACAAATTAGGGTACCGATGCTTCCGTGTAGGGAAAATTCAAATACAACAGCAAAAGGGAATGTTAGCATCAAAGGAAGAAACATCTTCTGCAGTATCATTTTTTAAAAGAAACAATAATACTGATATTTTATACATATGCAAGCGTTAAGCCTCTGTCTTATTTTTCAGTATTGACCCTCTAATATAATAAAAACTGCTGTACTTCAGTCTGCCTTCAGTCACATGCAATCCACGTTTTCTTTATCCATTACAACTTTCCTATTCTCAGACATCAGATTAAATGACTAAAGTGCCAAAATAAGAATTAAACAGGAAAACATTTATCTCCAAAAAATCATAAAGTGGACCCTGTTATTTAAGCTATTTGCTTGTGTCTGCTCTGAGGCCTTGACATGTTATGACAACCTAATCTGAGTTAAGATGAAAAGAATAGTAAAAAAAAGTAATCACACATTATGCTAACAAATACAGTGGAGGCAACAGCTGAAGACAACAGGTGTGTGCACAGACTGTATGGTGGCATGCTATAAGTGCAAACTTAACAATGCCTGCAGCTGCTCTGCAATAAAACCCAGAAGCAAAAACCTACAATAGGGTAAGAAGCAGGGGAAGCCAGAGAATAACTCAGAGATGTGCAGGGTTTTGTTACTACCATCAGATCTGTGTTTGTCTCGAAGGCTCCAAATATTACAGAGCATATAAAATAAAATGAAAGGCACCAGCCAGGAAATCTGCTGAAGTGAGACTATGTGGAAGCCATCATTACCGTGTTATATCCTTAGTGCACAATATGAACACAGTAGGGTCGCACAAACACACAAAACTGATAGAATCAAATAAATTCACAAAATCCATGCAAACGCACACTAAAAATCACAACGACGGGAAAGAAAAAGCCACAAGTAAAAGGATGGAATCTACTGGTTTCTGCTTTTAAAAAATACAAACCTTGTCCTTATCAAAACCAGTGTAGGTTTTGATTTATTTATTTATTGTGTAGGTTTCTCTGTCCAGTCCCTTCCTGCTCAAAGGGACAGGACAGAGCTTCACAGCTATCGCAAGACCAACAAAAACAAATGCAACTAAGGAAACTAAGGAAAGAAAAGAAATGAGAAAAAAACACGAGAAGGGGAGGAGCAAGACGAGAAAAGTAGAAAAGAAGAGGCCAAACATAACACTAATCATAGGAAAGAAATCAACACGGGGAGATGACAAGCGGCAAGAGCAGGAGAGGAGGAAGAGGAGGCACCTGTGCGCTGCGCCAGCGCTCCTCCCAATGCTGCTTCTCCAGCTGTGTGTGCTCGACAGTCAGCTTGAGGCTGGACAGCTGGGTCATGAGCGACTGGTAACACACATGGAGAGAGTAAGAGATAGAGAGCTAGAGAGGGAGAGAGGACAGGAAGAGAGTAATGACGGGGAGAGATTTAGGGATGTGAAGAGAAAGGAGGAGCGGAAAAAAGTGAAGAGAGCAAGCCGCAGAGAGGGGTTAGTAGAGAAGAGGAGAGGAGGCGGATAGTGAAGGAGGGAGAGAGGAGGAAGGAAGCACTGTAAGCACAGAGAAACCAATGGCAGTTTGACCTCCTTCAGACAATATCCAACAATATGTTAGAGAGAGACTCTGTCATAACAAAGGAAATGAAGCTGCACGTCTCTGCTGCTGAGAAACACAAATGAGTGAAGCTCTGATTATTTCATCCTGATGAATGAAGGTTAAAGAAATTCACCTGGTGACAGTCTGATCAAATTATCGAACGTTTACGTATAACATCACAGTAACACCAGCTGTTAATTTTATCTTCTGTTACAGTATCCAGCATCCATTCTTGTCTACATCTGCTCTATTTCCTTTTTCATATGTGCAATTATCAGATTAGGAAGTCCGTCCTTTACACAGGTTTGCTGGAGTGACTTCACAGGCCAGTTTCCACATTTTGAAAAGTCTTCTTCCAGTGAGTTTGATGAGAAGTATACACCACACTCACATCTATGATATGAAGTTAGTCAGATTAGTTTAGAGCAATGTTTGGATTCGTTTAATGTAAGTCTGGAAGAAAAGGGGAACAAGCCGCCTGGCTTTGTCCAAAGGAAACCCACCCTAATGAAAACTTCAGAGCTCATTAAGTCCCATTTTTTTATTCATTTTTTATTTATTCTATTGTATTCTACACAAAATAACTCTCGAAAAAAAAGCAAGAGCTGCATTTTATTAAAAATAGTGGAAAAACACAACAAATCTCAAAACTATATATGCGCTCCTTACAATTTCACATCAATAATGCAATTTAACTTAAATTTAAGAAACGCCAAGAAAATACCAGATGGAAGATCTCAGAGACTAATGAGCTCAATTAGTGATGTTGTTGGATATTAAAAAAAACATCTTAAAGAGGCCGAGCTGTTCAGAAGAAAAACTCGGAAGGGACTAACTGCTCCGTGAAAAACTATGTGGGCAAAGAGTTCAACAATTTAAGGGTAAAAGCTTCATAAAATAACAAAAGATTAGAGAAGTTCAAAGTATTGGGGCATTGCATCATAACATTTAAAGATCCAGAGATTCTGGAGACACCTCTAGACCAAGTACCAAGGCTAAAAACCAATGAAACGCTGCAATTTTGGGGCCCTACGACAAGTGAAATGGACATCTGTGAAGACACCACTAATACTAAATGATGTTTACAGATTTTGGAGTAACATTGAAAGAACTTCTTTCGCACAGAAGACAATGCCAAACCACAATTTACATGTTTTCCAGCAGTAGTGAAACACATTTTTAAGTCTTCATATTCAAAAATATAATAAGATTTCTCAGTTTCAACATTTGATATGCTTTTTGTATATGTTACACAGCATCCCAGCTTCTACAAACAGATTTTAAGTGCATGTAAAATGCATTTTACACTGCTCTGTGTGCTTTAGCGAGTACCTTGGTGGCTCTTAATTTCCTCTCATACTGGCTCTTCTCTCCCTCCAACTCATCCACTTTGCTCTTCAGCTGCTTAACTTCTTGTTGCAAATCCTGCAGAAAAGCCAAACCATAGCATTCTTCAGTTAGCCAGACCACTTTACATACATGTGCACAATTACGAAACTTTTCTGATGTTTCAAGCAATTCTCAAAAAAAAGTTATACATTTCATCTACATGTCACAATCGGCACGAGGTTCATCTACATGAGTGGGCACGCATGCCAGCATATAAATGGGAGGGTATTCAAACACCAGGTTCACATTCAGTGCAGTTATAAAGGTCCCCGGGGCCAGACAGTGGTTAATAAAGGGAACAAGATCCTCCTGAAACAGACACCACAACGTGCAGTTAACAACCAGGAAACCCAGAACACTACTGAAAGCCTTCCGGGTCGCACATCTGCCAGCTGCGCACTGCCACCATCTGGGGGAAACTTTGGACAGCAGGGTTATAGGGACCGTAACATGACCCATCCACCTGGTCAGTGTATTAGGAAGCTGACAGATGTAAACTTTGTTAGTGGAGGAATCACTGTCATGCAAGGAAACCACATCGAATCTAATACAAAACACAATTCTGGTCCTAAAGGCAAGCTTGAAAGGATTTATAGAGACAACATCCTGATCGGTGCTGAAATACATTCCAAATGTTTCAAATACTTGAGGAGTTCACTCTACGTCATACTGCTGGAAGACTTTTTAGGTAAATAACTCCTCAAATGTATGGAAGCATTTAGAAAACCCAATCGAAAGCCTCAATCACTGCAAGAACCAGAGCAGAGTGTGACCCCAACATCCTGCAGTACACATACAGACACTACAAGAGAGGTTGTTAGCTTGATTCTGTGGAATATTCCAAATACCGGGTGGTGTGTGGACTGGTTAAAAGGGAAGAAGAGAAGAGAAGAAATGATGGGGAAGGAGGGTAAGATGAGTTCATCCATCAAGTCTCCCTACGTGAACAGTCTTTCCTCCATTGTGCTGCCGGGCATCAGAGCCAGACAGGCTCAGGTCCAAGCCGACCAACCCAACTTGAGGGCTGTAGCCCTGGGCTTGGCCGTCTCTTGGCTCCCCCTGCTGGGCCTCCTTCTCCTCCAGGGCCCGTTTCTCCTGAATGCGAGTGCTGATCTCCTCCTGAAACCTGCACATCTGCTCCTGGAGCTCACTGATGAGATTTACCACACACTGGGAGGGTTGGAAGACAAATGAAGGGTGGCAGAAGAGGTGAAATGGTGAGATGAGGAGAAGAAAAGAGGAATAAATGAAAGTCAGTTGAGAGGAGGAGAGGAGAATAAAACATGAACTTATTTGTTAATCAGTCAGTACAGGGAAAATGGTTGATGCCACATCTGGATCACTGTTGGCCATTTGTAGTAGAAACTCAGAAAACACATAAAAATCTTGTGAAACACACAAAGCACAAAGATTTACACAAACACTTGAAGCGGAAGAAAGAAATGCTTAAATTCAACTGGAGAAAATGTTAGAATCCTAGAAAAGAAGGAGCATTACACCTCAGCACATTGACAAACAACTGAAAACACAAGAGTAACTTTTACTCCTTTAAAAACTTTTGCATTATGCAATGCCCTCCTCTTGTATTAGTGCTGTAACGGTGAGATTGTGGGAGACAGATGCAGGCAAGGCATCATGCCTCACCGTCTTACATTGTTGAAATAGTGTGAAAAACAGATCTGTGCTCATCTACAGCGCGAGTGTTTCTGCGCCACCTCCCTGCTGGCTCAATGTGACCACTGACAGGAAAGGAGCGACCACTTTATTCTTAAGGTTAGTCTGGGGTCAGAGGAAAAAGCAGGAAGTCTAGTGGAGTTTGGAGAGCAGCGGTGAGCAGACAAACACCTCCTGACAGCCAGAATTAGAGTGGGGTGGTTAAGAATGGGTTGTATTGTTTGGGCGAACTGTGCTCCAACTGAGTGGATGAATCATTGTGTCCAATTAAATCAAGACAGTGGTCACAAATCACTAATTTGTCTCAGAGGGTTTTCCCAGTCGAACCAGCTTTTGTACAGGAATTAAAGATCGAAAGGTCAAACACAACACGCCCCGTTGTGATACGACCACGACACTTTAGGCGTTCCAAAAGCCCTCAACCAACAAGTCTGTCATGCTGATGCACTTAGTGATTTTGCATTGTACTGGCTGTTAAGCTAATGTCGAGCGTATCCACTGAGGACAGATCAGGGCTAACATCTGTCTTCTGCTGACATTAGAATAGTTTCCATGGCAACTTCTGATGTTGCACAATATAAGTATGATACCATATTGTAAATATAAAAAATGGCAATAGGAACAAGCTGCCAAGATTTCAGTCTCTGTCATTGTGCTTCGTGGCCTATTTTACATTTTACATGAAAAGCAGCTCAGCAGGCAGGGCTGTTTTAAACTACATAAAATCCACATTTCAGGCATCTAAAGCATAATTTTGTATAAGTAATAACCCCATCTGGCGCACCAGGGTTATTATATCATGCCTGAGCTCCAGCCAAGTCTAGTCGCATGGGAAACAGAGCCGTAACCCAGAATTTAGACCAATAAAACAGAACAAGACAGGATGTAAAGACAGGAAAAAAACAGAGCGTACAATAAAGAAGAGACATGAAGGTGCACAGAGCAAAGTCTCTAACTGTTCTTTTTGTTTACACACATTAAATGTTGAGCAAACTGTTGATCTAAGAAAATGTCACAGCTCAGGGGAATCTTGTTCCTGAAAAGTGGTTGCTTTAGTACTTAAAGGTGTTCGTGAGACGGCAGCGAGCCTGTGTGTGGTGTTGGTGTGGTTTCCTGAGGTGAAAGTGTTTGGCCCCGAGGAATGCTCAGAGTGGATGCTTGCCATTCCTCCTGACAGCCTACCGGAGCCTCGCAGCTGTTACTAACCACACACACAGACACACGCACAGACACACACATCCTGACTTTACTGACAAAAATGCAGCCCCATCATAACGTAAACAAAGCAAAGCACCTCAGCTGCACACCGGACATGTTGGATTCTGGTGAGTACGTATGTGCATCTCAATACTGAATCAATACTAAACCAAGACAGCACCAACTTATAAAAACGGCTCATTGACAGGACTGATGTTAGATTTATGTGGTGGAGCCTCAAGCTGAGAGAATAGGCCTCATGATCCCTGAAGCAGCCTGAAAAACAGACTAGATAAAGTGAATAAGTGCCGCCCAATTCCTGTTGAAGTTTGTGCTGCTTTTTTACATTTTTTGCAATATAACCTATTAAAAAAGGACTGCTTGATAATATCCTGCACTATTTTGTTTAATCTGCCTGTTAGATTTAATGACTCATTAACTGAAGGTGCCGAAATGCTGTTCCGGATTGTTCCAGCTCATTGGCTACATGAACTCATGCATGTAACCTAAATGGATTTTTTGGATACATTTCAGCACCAAAACTACTGTGTTAGGTACAGGCATGATGCCTTGGGTTAACAGTAGCCACATGCTAGAAAGTGACAAGATTGCATGTAAAAGATGGGAACATGCTGCAAATATATTTCTAGGAGCACACAAACGGATTTACTAACATCTGCGATATGCAGGTTACTGCTAATTGCACCAGTATTTAATGCTGAAAACAGGTATTGCATTTTTTGTGCTGGATATTAAAATGAACTGACCACCCGTGCTAAGCAAACAGTGCAACTTTTGTAAATCACTATTTTAAACCAACATTTTAAACATCAATTTAACAGTAGTGTGAGACAAAGTGGTGCAGCTAGCATGACGTGAGTAGAAAGTGCCAAGATGTTGGCACTTTCTACTCAAACCAAGGGTTTGCAGGCAGTTTTCTTATGAAATAAGGATCATGTCAGGTACACTAAACTCAGGTTCACTGTACCTGAAATGGTATCTGAAATACTGGACAGCTCCCAGGATTTATTGACAGAATGTGGCTTCCTGACTGAATAAAAAAGTTTTCTGCTAAGACAAATGTTCTTCTTGTTATTGAGTGAATGTGAGCTTTGCACAAGAAGCAAAGTCAGCTCACACTTGGTTTTCTCATAGAATCCGACATCGCTGGCAGTCACGTCCTGCAGGATTTGCAGTGTGGCTATCATGCACGTTCAGTTAATGTGCACCTTACAGGTCAGAAAACACTTTTTGTACATCAGCCGTCTGTTCCTTCTTTTTTCTCTGTCCTCTCTCTTTTCATCTGTTCCCTTCACTATCTCCTCCCCTCTGTCTGCTTCCGCTGATGCTTATCACACTCCATCCATGTGCGGTTGCAGAGTATGGGCCCCTGCATGTCAAAAATGCTGTATCGTGTTTATTCTATCAGAGCACGGCCCTGGATGGCTTGTGATAGCTTTACACACAGACACACACACAACGAAACCACATGAGCAGCCTTAGTATCCGTTTGTGCCAGTGGGAAGCAGCTGGGTGTCACAATGAACAAAGTCCACACAAAGAAACTAGTGAAGACAAGCAAAGGCTGCTCAGCCGGACTTGGTTGGAATGCGTGTATGTGTGCATCGTTATTGTGCGTTCTGTCAGTGAGGGAAACAGCGTCCTAATGTAACTCTCACCTTCACCGAGGCCCAAACCTGTTGCTGAGCTGAGCAGTCGTTTTCACCTACAATCATTGGCCACTTCATTGGGTACACCTGTTCAAGTGCTTGCTAATCAAAATAGCTAATCAGTAAATCAAATGGCACCAACTCAATGGATTTAGGCATGCATGCATAGTCAAGATGACCTGCTGAAGTTAAAACTGAGGACCTACATGGTTGTTGGTGTATTTCAGTGGGTGCTGATCTACTGGGATTTTTCTGCATAACCATCTCTACGGTTTACAGAGAATGGTCCAAAACAGCGGTCCCCAACCTTTTTTTGCTCCACGGACCGGTTTATGCCCGACAATATTTTTACGGACCGGCCTTTAAGGTGTCGCGGATAAATACAACAAAATAAAAGAAGTTTTAAGAAAAGAAGATTTATTCATAACACGTGAAAAGACCCAGGAAAACAGAGTTAACGATAAAAACGATAACAAAATGACGCTGAAAACCGATAAAAACCCTGAAAACCATACATTTCACACCTGAGCCTCAACTCTCGCGGCCCGGTACCAAACGACTCACGGACCGGTACCGGTCCGAGGCCCGGGGGTTGGGGACCGCTGGTCCAAAAAACTGAAGATACCCAGTGAGTGACAGTTATCTGTGAGAAAAAAACCTTGTTGACGCAAGAGGTCAGACATGAGCAGCTGCTTTGAGATTATGAGAAGGCAACAGTAACTTGAATGACCATTCCTCACAACCAAGGTTTAAGATCACCTCTCAACATGTCAAAGCTTGAAGCAGAGGAACTACAGCAGCAGAGGACTACACCAGGTTTCACACCTGTCAGCTAGAAAAAGAAAACCGAGGCTACAGTTTAAATGGGCTCACCGAAATTGGAGAGGATTGGAAAAATGCTGCCTGGTCTGATGAGTTTTCTGCCGCAGCATTCCTGGTTAGATCAGAATGTGGTGTGAATGGCATTAAAGCTCCAGCCTGGCTTGCATCAACAGTTCAGGCTGTTGGTGGTGTAAAAGTGTTGGGGGATATTTTAATGACGCACTATGACACACTCACTTAAATGCCATCGCCTACCTGAGTACTGTTGGTGACCAAGTCCATCCCTATATAACCACAGTGTACTCATATTCTAATGGCTGCTTCCAGCGGGATAATGTGCCATGACACAGATTGTATTAAAATGGTTTCTTGAACATGACAATGAGCTCACAATACTTAAATGGAGGGTGTTCACTTTTCTGTAAAAGTCATGACGGCCATACTAGAATTATTGATTTCTTGACTTCACAAGGTGGAAGGGCTTTAGGTGCACCAGGTATTAGTGAGGCTCGTGAGTTTCAGGTGTTTTTTCACAGTTTCAGTTAATTATTTCTAAAGTCTCCGATCAAAAACAAAAACTGTTCCGCTGACTCTTTGCAGGATGTGAGCAGGGTGGTGCTTAAACTACTGTTTGATGTGTTCTGGCTTGTTTCAGAGCCTCACCAGTGAAGTTTGTACCCCATCCAGACACATTTCATCATTACCTTTGCCAGTCAAGTTGGCCAGAGGGTGGGCATGTTTTCACCATCTGCCTGGTTATTATCTGGGTGACAGATATTTCAGGATCGCAGGACAGATTCTTCATTTGGCCTCTACGATTTCCATTTAAATGTGGGACAAAAACTGTGGGAAAATCCTGCTCGTGTGACTTTTTCACTGGTTTAGTGGGTAAACCAAACCTGAAAAACAACAAAAGTAACAGCAGGCTGCTGCTGTGGAAACGAGAGTCAACATGAGAGTTTCTAGAGAAAGCTGTAACGGTTTTTCCTTTTTGTTACACATGGCTTAAAGACAAACCGCTATACAAGCGTAAAAAGTTTAACCGTTACCATGAAACTTCAGCAACTGAAAGGATTTTTTTTAGAAAGATAGCAAGAGGTCTGTAAGTAAATCTTTGAATAAGAAAATTATGAAATCTGTACTAATTTGCATAAATTTCCAACAGACAAGTGTACAAGGTTTCATGTACAGACTGTGCCTTGTGTGAAATAGCCGTTGCCTATACAATAATGTACTTACAACTCTGAGGCTGATAAGAGCCCTGTGAATAGACCCGGTTAGCATCAAACACACATTCCACCAATCACACTCCTCTTTAGCGGGATCGTCTGCCACCAGCCGACAGGTGAGGTCTCACAGACAGGAGACGGGAGGAATCAGCGCCTCATAGTTTAATCCACACATTAACATTTGTTTTCCTTCTTTATAAAAAGCTTGGATGAGAGAGTATAACTTGTGAGAACAAGCACAGACGCAGAAACCAAAGTTGCAGAAAGAGTTAAAAAGCAGACATGTAGTTACTGTTATATCTGTAAGCCAAAATATTGCAAATACATATTATACAATAACATAATAATCCCCCCTCCCCCCAATCTGTGCCTTTCTACTGTGACAGCAGTAGCCCCTGGTGAATGTGCATGTTCCCTCCTGGCTTTGAGACAAAAAACACAATAAAACCAGACAAACAGCTTCCATACATCCTTAGACAGCATGTCTGAACTCCCCAATCCTGTGGTACTGCTCGTACCACAGGATGCGTGTCCCTAAATAACCCCTCATGGAACATACGGAATAAAGATTATTAAGCTTTATTTGAAAAACAGTGGTAAAAACAATTGTGTTGTCTATTGATGTGCATTTTGAAGGTGATTTCATTCAAACCAAGCGGTGGCTGCAGACCTGATCATACCAGCGATGATGTTTTTGTTCCACTGGTTGCTCTTTGCAGCTGATAAATAGCCCAAACTAGCAGAAATGTAGTGAAGGATCACCCAGGCAAACACAGCTGAACAGTTAATGACAGTTGTGATTATTCAAGACGCTAATATCACATATTCTGATGTTGCATTACAGAGTTTTAGAGTTGGGCAAGATGAAAAGTATGAGACAGTCGGTATCTGGCCTTTCCACCTAATGAAGTACCTGAAAATCAATGTGTATAATCAAAGTACCAATAACTGTTTAATACCAACAAGTAAGTTAAAATAATACTCTTAATCTGTGCCCTAAAATTAGATAATGGTTTATTTCCCAACCATAAACAGGATTAACTGTGCAAAGTAAAATGTTCATCCTCCTGTTATTTAACTCTACAATACATCAATATGTACACAGAAGGGAAAACTTCCACTCAGGCAAGTGTGGCAGGGATCTTGGCTTATAGCCCATTAAACACAGACATCATACAAGTTTTCCATTTCTAGATCAAAGACTTGAATGTGTTTGAAAACATGTTTGTTGACTTTCCGTACCTCAGCTTTGTTCTGCTTTGTGTCTGTCGAATCCTGCGGGTGTGAGTTGGTTTGCGTCTCCTCCATGCTGACCAGCTTCAGTTTGAGAAAGGACACCTCATCCATCAGATCCAGCTTCTGAGTTTCTAGCGAGGTCCTGCTCATCAGCTCCTGGGAGAATCACATGTGCACCATCTAAGTCAGATGCATGGGAAGCAAACACGCAACTTACTCAAGCTAGAGCAACGCAGCTTTTGGAGATCGGTGTTGTGAGACTAAGCAGGCTACTCCACTCAGCGTATTATTGTTCCCACACTAACAGAGCAGAGCGGTTGGGGCCCAGACCCCACAAAGCTAAATATATACACACACACAAGCGTGCTAGAGACTCTATTAATATATGCCTTCTTTGGTATGAGAGAGAGTAAAAGAAAGAGCATCTAAAAAAGAGAGAGAACGAAAAAAAGCACTCTACTGGACATGAAGGAACGTTTTTCTGACTCATACAAAACTCTGTTGCTTTCAATTCCTCATCTAAACTCCTTTAAATTGCACTTCCTCCTTTCTAAACTCAAACTACAGTTGACCTGGATTGCTGATTAAGCCTTTAACGTCCATCTTCTTGCTCCATACTTGTTTAGTATGAAACATTTAGAAAGAAATGGGAAGAAAAAACACCCCCAGACCAAATATGAACTTACCAGCTTTTTGTGCACCAATTTAAAAAGCTTAATAAGGAAAAACAAAATTGGGACACGTGTAAAAACTAGGACTGCCAACTCAAGTGTGACCCCCACTCATGATAATATAACAATAACTGTGGAAAAAAAATTACAACTTTATATGATTCCAGGAGGTTTGGTTCTGGGGCAATGGTGTCGAATGGCGGTGGCTAAAGCTGCCATATCCCTGTTACTTTTAACTTTGCTAAACAGGACAAATGTCGTTGATATATGCAGGACTCAGCTTGTCCAGTTAAAGCAGAGCACTCGATTAGACCAGCTACGCCCTGTAGTCACACATGTGCGAGTCAAAACGCACAGTTGGGTATTTAACCGAGCAGTTAGCGTTAGCTCAGAGCGCTGTGAAGGCAAAGAGGAGTGGGAGCTTTAGAAAGAGCACAAACAAATCTGAAAATGAACTAACTGAATGAAGGCTCGCAAAAGTTCACCTCTTTCTAGTCCAGTCCTTCAGTCAGAAAAGCAACAAAAGCCAAGTGAGTGAGTCAGTGTAACGTAACCGCTTTGTTATGGGAAGTGATTTTCCCGTAGAAGTTGCCGCTTTGACAGAAATGTTTTTGCTGTAAGAGGTAGTCATATTTTCTTTAGTCACAGTCAGCAGTAGGTACTGAAAGTCTTTTACTGAGAAAGCAGAGAGCTGTGATGAAGTGCAAACTGAGGCTGTAAACATACATTTTCTGCAGTTTAATAGTTTTTAATGTATCACACTCTTGTTTTAAATCTCTCGTAGAGACATCGGTTAGGCAGACTTTCTCAATGCCTCCAAATCGAGCTACTTTTATGTTGTCACTTGTGTTTCATGAGCCTTTGATTATTTTTGTGTGCTTTTACTGTACTTGTTTGTAATTCTTCATTTTCTTTGTTCTGCTTTTAACTGTCTTGTGCTCTCCCTCCCAGTTTTCTGTAACCTTTAAATGTTTCTCAAACGTTTTATTACGATTTGTTTTACCGTGACTATCTTGTCTTGTGAAGCATCTTGTAGCCTTATAGTTGAGCTATATAAACGTATTATTAATGCAAAACTTTTTTGAGATGGTTTTGGAGCAGAACAACAATCAGAATCATTTTTTGCTTCTCTATTTTTTCATTTGTGCGTGCACATTTTCAAAATGCCAAATGAATCAAATTCAATAAAAAAGATGCTGGGATTTTTTTAGAATTATAGCCACACACTTCTCACATGAGCCTATTTTAAATAACATATATTTAAGACAGAAATTCAATGACTTGTGAGCGGTCAAATAAAGTAGATTACTGTCCATTAAATGTCAGACAAGGAATTTCTTTCTAAACGGAAACATCACACAGTAAACAAACTGTGTCAACACCACAGCCACACAAATGAACAACTAAACCCCATAATCACTCCAGCTCAGCAGCCACACACACACACACACACACACACACACACACACACACACACACACACACACACACACACACACACACACACAGATATTTAGAAAATCTCTTTCGTTATGGCAGCTGACTGTCAGTTTGCAATCTAACACCAGTGTCACTTACAGAGGGATAAGCCGCAATATTTAGAGGTAATTCATCCACACGCTGTGGTCATGGCCCACGGCTCAGCTGCCTGACATTTGCTTTCCTTTAATAATGAGGCCGTGCCGTGCATGTGACTAATTATCATATGCACCACAGAATTTATAGATCCCTTTAAAGAGGCTGTGCTCATCTCCAGAGTTAAATATGGCACGACTAGACAGGAGAACTTGAAGTATATACTATCTAACGTCTTGATGCATTCTCAATCATCCAGGAAAGTAAATCTCCAAAAAGTTGATTCTGTTCATCTGGACGTAGCGTTTTGTGGGAGAAATGTTTCGTCACTCATCCAAGTGACTTCTTCAGTCTCAGCTGACTGCAGGTTTCCCCAAATCTTATAAACAGGACATTTGCATAATGACTGAAACCAGCCCACTGAAGGTAGAATGGGCTGGGAGGTCAGTTCCTTAATCTTAACCTCATACCACAGGCTATACCCAGGGGAGTCTACACCAAGCCTGTATGGTTTACCAAAAATACATAAACAGGGTGCACCTTTAAGACCGATTGTCTGCATGATCAACTCTGTCACCTATAACATCTCCAAGTTTCTGGCTTCGATCCTCAACCCGCTGGTGGGCAGCTCTGAACACCACATCCAGAACACCCTGGATTTTGTTGAGAAGGTGAGAGATGTCATTATGGAGGCAGATGAAACCATGGTCTCGTACGACGTTACATCTCTCTTCACTTGCATCCCAGTCACGGAAGCGTTGGAGGTAGTCCGTAAGAGATTAGGATGACCCCAACCTCAGCAACAGGACCACTCTCAGCATCGACCAAGTGTGTTTGAACTGTGTCTTCATTCCACCTACTTCACATACAAGGGTCAGTTCTACAGGCAGAAACATGGGTGTGCCATGGGCTCCCCAGTTTCACCCATCGTGGCCAATTTGTACATGGAAGAAGAAGCAGAAGAACTGCACATCAAGAAGGCCTTGAGTAAATGTGGTTATCCCAGCTGGACTTTTGTCAAAGTGGGAAAGGCACCTAAAGAAAGCTCCAGCCGATCCAGGAGAGAAGGACAACCGCTGCCCAAGTGAAAACCTGTAGTGATCCCATACGTGTCAGGAGTATCGGAGCAGTTGAGACGCATTTTTTCTAAACACCGGGTCTCTGTGGCTTTTAAACCCCAAAACACGCTGCGCCAAAAACTGGTCCACCCCAAGGATCGGCTCCCCCGACACAAACAGAGTAACATAGTGTACGCTGTTAAGTGCCAGGAGGATTCCCGGGATTTATACATCGGGGAAACCAAACAACCTCTGGAGAAGCGGATGGCACAACACAGAAGAGCCACCTCGTCAGGCCAGGACTCTGCAGTCTGTTTACACCTACAGGCCAGTGGACACTCTTTCAAGGATGAGGATGTACACATCCTGGACAGGGAGGAACGCTGGTTTGAGGGCGGAGTCAAGGAGGCCATTTACGTGAAAAGGGAAAGACCATCTCTGAATCGAGGAGGGGGCCTAAGGGTACATCTGTCACCATCTTACATGCTGTGATTGCAGCCATTCCCCAACTCTCTGTGAATGGTACTCATGGCCATTGATCAGTGGGTTTTGGTCAGTGGTTGTTGATCAATGGTTATGAGAATTTGCATAATTAAGATTAAGGAACTGACCTCCCAGCCCATTGTTCCTTCAGTGGGCTGGTTTCAGTCATGCAAATGTCCTGTTTATAAGATTTGGGGAAACCTGCAGTCAGCTGAGACTGAAGAAGTCACTTGGATGAGTGACGAAACATTTCTCCCACAAAACGCTACGTCCAGATGAACAGAATCAACTTTTTGGAGATTTACTATCTATTTGTTTAAAAATTAAACACTCAATAAAATCGCAGAAGTAGAAGTTTGGTACTGTTTTTGCCTGTGAACTTACCTTTACATCGCTCACTATGTTCTGAAAACAAATCCCATGCTGTTCTATTCTCTCGGTGTAACTAGCATGCTGCCCTATTATATGTTACAGTAGGCTCTGGTGCATAGGTAATCTTCTTATATATTTACCCCGTCATTTTATGTCATGTCATAAGTAGTCATCTACTCTCAGCCCCTTTCAAATATGCACTGCTTCTGATTTTAACACGTCAGTTTTAGGTCTGTTTGAGCACCTTTGCTTGCTCCCCTGTAAAAAGTTACATCAGGCACTTTAAACCTAGCAACAGTTCATTTTTTATGTTTTTCCGCTATGTGTTGACATGCCAAAAGGTTATGGAGATATGAGTTCTTCACTTCAGGCAGGTGAGCTTTTTTGACTCAGACGTGACCATATTTGGACGAGAATGTTGAGATCTAAGTTATAAGCTAAGGCTTGCAAGCTCTGGTTTTCATGTTGCATCTATAAAATGTAGAGGTGCAAAATCAAGATACATAAAAATATCCTCATTTCACTCACCAAAAGGCAAAGCACAGATTCACTGGGCATTCTGTGTGACATGGTCCCAAATGACAGAAAAAGATTGCCAACACAGTGGAAAGGCTCAGTTCAGTGACTACAGTTAGCTGAAATGAGGCCTGACCAAAATCAGCTATGACTCTTCATGCTGGCATAGTTGTTAATCCAAGCAGTCGGCTGTTTAGGCTAACCTTAAATCTACCCAAATGTTAACACATTCATCTTTCACATGAAAGATCCCCGGCTCAACACCCAGAGGAGACACTAACTAAACCTCAAAGGGGGTGACAATCTAATGCACTCCTGGTCCCGATCCAAAGCCCAGATAAATGGGATGGTTGCGTCAAGAGGAGTGTCCTGTGTAAAATCTGCTCTGGTTTAAAAATCTGGACACAGCCACTACAGCAACCCCTTGGGAAATATGGAAGCAGCTAATGTCCTCAGACATGCAACTGGACGTTGACGCAGCCTGCACTGGCATAAATGCTGGCATGGCTTCAGCTTTGAGTAGGTTCAAGGCTCTGCTTAGATTCACCACAGAAAGAAAACTCAAGCGTGACCTTTAGAGCCAACCTCAAGTGCCAACAGCAATTTTGGCACTTTCAGGATCCTCAGCCTCAGTGGTTCTCATTTGATTCAAGCCATTCCCATAACTGTAGGTAGGATGTGGCAATCATCATCATTTGCAAGTTGCAACATTTTATTATTTTATTATTATATTATTGATATTTCTCAATCTCTGGATGCCAAATCACGGACTGTTTTAGAGACCTCCGCCTTTTTGTTTTGGCCAAAAACGCAGAAAATAAAGAAACATCAGCCAGAGAGTGCATGGAAACCAAAAATACTGGGAAATTGCTGGGCTGTTGATATTTTTTGGATAATAATGAAGACAGTGAATGACGTCTGCTGTTGAGTCAATTACATTTTTAATGAACATGGCAAAATATTAAAACATAATGGCCCATGAATGTTTATGCGCGTTATACTTGTCTTGTATGTTGTTTAGGATACTGTGTAACTACAACAGTGTAAGCCGTGTAGACAGAAATGTCTCAGTACAGTAATTTTTATGTCTAAATAAAGGCACTGTAGGACATGTAGTCACAGTATGACTACATGTGTGGGTGGATATCCTCCAGCATGAGAACTCTGCACCCTGTGGTGTGTGTGTGTGCCCTGAGGGCTATTTCTTATTAGATTAGTTGTGGTTCCCACAGCAAACAGCAGCCCTGCAGCGCTGAAACATAATGCTGCATGGCTGGATAAACTCTTGTTCGCCTGTCGCTTGTCTCTCTCGCTCACACACAGACACACAACTTGTTTGTGTTTGCTCATGTGAATACTATCCTGTGAATACACTACACAGAATCAGACGTACAGCATCCATCTCCACGCCCAGCTGACGTCTGTTAACGGAGGCGCTCATGTTTGCAATGTGCTGCCGTGTGAAGTCCCTTAATTTCAGGCGTTTTCAGGTGTCCTTCTACCCCTGTACAACTTTTTGTTTTTCGGCTTCATGCTGACTGTCCACTTGAAGGTGCTGCACTTCACTTTTTCCCATTTTCTGGGAATAATCTAAGCTTCAAACATCTGTGGAGAGTTCTTAAGTCAGGGGTGTCCAACTCCAGGCCTCAAGGGCCAGTGTCCTACAGGTTTTAGGTATCATCCTGGGTCAACACACCTGAATCGAATGATTAGTTCATTACCAGTCACTTCAAGACATGTTGAGGAGGTCATTTAACCATTTAGATGAGCTGTACTGGATCAAGGACACATCTAAAACCTGCAGGACACCGGGCATGGAGTTGGACACCCCTGCCTTAGCCTCCTAAGACCTGAACTCTTCCACAGCATGCATTTTTAATTTCTCTTTGATATTTGGGCATATTGGGGCCCGATGAATGTAAAAACAAAGAATTACCAGATTTTTTTTTACCTTACTTTTGTTTTTAAGAAAAATAAGAGCCACGTATTAGGATATTCGTTTAAAATTTTGAAAGAACAGTAGCAGTATAATGTCCTCGTAAGTGGATATCAGGCCCTTGTAGAGCAAAATTGAGTATTTTGGTCTAAATAACCCAAAATGTCCTAGGAGGTAAAGTCAACTAACTTAGCATCCAACAATCCGGAGCTTTGCTGATATTTTGTTTTGCAAAATCTTCATTTTGTTTTTTTCCCCACTTTTGCTAATGAAAGCATTAAAATATAAATGTGATTTTATGTGAAAACATAAACCCGCAGAAATCAGAAGATGAATTTATCGTGTGTCACAACCTCGGTATGATCCAAACCAGTGTACTCATACTTGTGTATTAGACACTGCAGAAGCAGACGTGTTTGCCACCTTTTAAATCCTTCAAACATGCCCTGTAATTATGCACGGAGAAGATTTAAGAGGTACATAACTGATAATAAAATACAACAGACACAACAGACGAGATAGAAACTGAAAACACCGGTCCACAGTTATCTTTCTCCTCACTCAGCCCTCATCTCTGCAAACCAAACATCTCATATCAGATTAACTATTTGAGCAGCGGTCGTAAACTGTAAAAGGGAACCACTCGCAGCTACTAACAAACAACCACAAACCAGGACGACAGCTGCAGATCAGTGCAGCTAAAACCAGGAAACACCACAAACGTCAAGTCACAAACCAAAAAGAAGATCAGTAGCAGCAGAGGTTTTTTTTAAAAAAAGAGAGAGAGATGTTTTATTCCTCCTATGTTTTTACCTAAAACTGGTTTGATCACTTGAAAAAACATCAACAGCAATAACTAATAGATAACAAAGGGTGGCTGGATGAGGGAGAAAAACGTCATGGTCGCGGTGGGGTATTTATTTGGGGGCTGTGGCCTTTTTATCCTCTGTGCCGACAGCGAGGAGGACAAAGAGCCTGTTGAGGAGTCTAAACAGAAGCCTGATTCTGTGATGCACAGAGCTGCAGGCTTGTTGTGTCCAGCTTGGCAGAGCTCACGAGCTTGCCTCACTGGTGACGACAACCAAAACAACTGAAACGACTAGAAGACTCTGCTTCAGAATTATGACCTACTGTGGGCAGCAGTAGAGAAATCCAAAGACTGGCCGGCTGAATAAACTTTCCATTTACTGCACTTTGCTCTACAATTATTGTCCAGCAGTGCCTTAAAGTGCTAAGTGCTTAGGAGCGCATACTAATGGGATTTTCAGTAAGGACAGACGTTGATGCACATGAGATAGTATTTACTTGTTTCCTGATACTGAAGACAACAAAACTATAAAACAATACAGATTCAACTGTTGCCTCTGTTCGCCTTGCACACATTTTGCAACATGTGACTGAGATCTTCACGCAGGATTAATATAGTCTGTATTTGACATTAATTTTCATATTCAAAAAACCCCAAAGGCTTGATGCTTTGACAATTCTTTTCAGTTAAGGACAAAGTATGTACATATAGAGAGATAGATTATATAGAAGTTATATGAAAATTGCTTTGATGTTAAAAATAAATCTTTGATAACTCATAGGCCACATTGTACCGACACAAAGGCTTTGATCAATTCAAAGTGTATTCTTCTTTTTATTCGCTTGCTCTTAGTCTAGTTTAAATAGACCTTCAATGCTCTGTCGGTTTCCAAATCCCTTTGTTATTAACCTATGTTATAAATGTACTCACAGTTTACCAGATGTTGTAATGAAATGAATATTTAATAATCAGACTGGCGCATTTTCTGTCAACATCTTTCAGTAATGCTTTTGAAACACACAGGATTTCACCGCTGCTCATGTTTTAAAAACCACGTTTATGGAAACCTTTTTTCGGTTTCGTGTATCTGCTGCTGAAATCTGGGCTTTATTTCTATGTTTTGACTGATTCTCATCCCTCCAGGACCGACAGCAGTTGCATTAATGTAAAGTCAACATTAGTGGATTACATCCGATGAATGGGACATAGCTGGTAGCAGAACATTTTACATCCTTTATCTAAAAAGGTCACCTTCAAACTCACTGTACTGTAAGAGTAAACTCTGTCTAATCTCATTACATCTCACTGAACACTGAGTAACTTCGAGCTTTGACCCTTTAAAATCTAGTTGTTTTGATGTCTCTGTTATACCCACCACACAGCTAAACAGGGACAGAGTCAAAGGAGGCCAGCGAGCATAAAATCAAACTGGAACCCTCAATAAAACACTGCGCCACTCCTTTATTTATTCATTTACAGTAACAACTCACTCCTGCACTTTAGTCACTCTGAACATCCTGTTGGATAACTCCCTGCTATCACCTGAAGTCAGCGACTTGGTATTTGCTCTAACGTAAAACAGAAAAAAGACACGCCAAGTGACAACAAGGTCAACTCAATAAGTATGACCTCTGTCATAGTTTCATTTTCAGTTACCATCTGTCTGGGCACCATTTGAGACCACATTTAGTGTTTTAAATATAATACACTCTCCTCTTTAGGCTGATGCAGTTTGCACTGAGAACAAACAGCTACGGCCCTCTGTAGAGACCCTGTGTTAATACTGTTATAGCAATATATTTTATATACGGGGGTTAAAACAGCTTTCTTAATTGATTGAAATTAAACTAGTACAGAGAACCAAACAAACTGCAGTTCATCTAAAATCAACTTGAGGCTAGTTCCACAAAGTGAGTCACCATTACCACTGGCTCCTTTGTTAAAAGTCCCAAAGTTAGTGGTGAAATCTAAATTTTACAGATGATTTCACTCTCTGCTAGCCTAGCTTGCTGCCTTTAGTTGAGCCACAGTGTTAGCCAAAATGCTAACAATGACATCCAGAAACCACAAAGGCCATGTCCACCTTTTATGCAGTCTATTACTACAAATGCCATTTTCTTGCCATATTGTCTGTACTGTAGCATCAGAATCCCTCCAGGGTGGATCAAGCAACATGCAAACAATAATATTTCATCTGTTCAACATTTTTCTGTGACAGGTTTATAAATGGTGTTTTACACGTGCTTTACCTGTTGGAGCATTTCTTCAGTGGAGGCCAGTTTCTGGCGGTGTTCCTCCAAAGAACTTTCTAGGTCTCTGATCTTCTCTCCCTGGGCCTCCACCTGGTCGGTCAGAACGCTCACCTGGTGGGTGACACAGTCATACTGTATTACACCGTCCTCAGAGAGCGCTGGCTGATCACATGCTTAAGATAAGGAAAAAATGCAGGAGTTTTAGTTGGTAAACATTGTTTCTGCTACACTGGATACTGGATTTTAGTCACTGATACAAGTTTTTATGGGAGATAGAATTACTATTACTATAGTACTATATAATATGCTATATATACTGTATAATAGTACTAATACCTGTGATAGACAAATATTATCAGTTTGAGTCTACCCTACATATTCAAAAGTCCACAGCTTTTGGTTTATGTTTGTGTCTTTATGTCTTTTTCTTCTTTCAATCCACATAAAAGAACACATCATCACATACTTCAACTCCAAACCAACACACACACATTTACTCAGCAGTCTGTCACCTAGGAATGTATCGCACACTTACTATAATCTCTCTGACAACCCATTCACCTCCTGCCAAACGTGCACCCACACACACACTCAAAGATCCCTCCTGTTCACCTAAACGATGCCAAATCCATCTGACAGCAGCTGACTCTCTGTCACTTCAGTTTCTCTGATTTTTACCCCTGCAGCCATGTCCTGTCGCACATTGCTCTGGCACAAAAGAATATTTTGTCAAGTTTTTGGCTTGACACTTGTAACCGCTAACAGAACATGAACATGTGTTATTACAGAGGGACTGGTCTGCTAAACCTGCCCTCCCTGGCACTGATGAACCATGAACAAGTGAGTAAATGAATGAACAAGTATCTGAATGAGTCACGTCTAAGAGCCTTGTGTTAGGTTTCGCACCAAAAACATGGATACCACTAACGCTTGACAAACATGACGCAAAGATAAAGTAAGTAAAAATAAAGAAACAACACGGCGTGATCTTGATATGACTGTATAAACTCCAAATGCTAAAGACAAAAGTTAAAAATACCCCTTACCTCCTTCCTCTGAGCCACACACACACAAACAGAGGTGAATGCTCTCGACAAAGCTAGAAGGAAGTTAGTTACTAACCACAGAGTGTGTCTATACTAGCACACGCTGAAGCAAGACAAAGCTTCACATAAGCAGTCTTAAAGTAGAGGCAGGTGAAAAGGCAGGAAGGCACTACGGAGGGGCAAACTGTCCACAGCCAATTAAATCACCAGTCAGTAAAAACAAGCCCCGGTTCACTTGGATCTCAACCAATCACGGGCAGTGTCAGTTGAGGAATGTGTAAGAAGTAGGTGTGCGGGTGGTGGTGGTGGTGGTAACAAACGAGATGTGGACTTTGTGAAAACTTTGCAAACCGGGGTTGTCCAGACGGGTGGTGCACTTATCATCAAAAAAAAATCATCCGCTCGCGTGGGCTTCCCCAGAGCATAAAACAAACATACACAGAGACACGGAGAGCATAAAGGGGCAGTTCCAAAACGACAAATTAACTAGGAGGGATGTAAAGACAGACTGTGGAAATCACAGCTGCATGAACTGGCTATTAAAGAGTTTTGACAGCACAGAGCACCTCCTGACATCATATAGTTAGATGACATATAATCATCTTTACTGCAGCCGACTAGGCGCTGGCGGTTACTGCACAAGTCGTATGTAAACACCCTCACATGCTTTCGAAGGTGTCCGGACATGTTTTGTTATGAAATAACACGAAATATCTGAACTCACAGGATTACAGATTAAAGGACAAGATGTTTTTCCAGCGTGGAACAAATCCTGCCAGACAGTCTCCTGGCTCATTTATGGCAGGGATCAAAAAGTTAGATGTAGTTGTGCATGCCAAAATAATTACAACCACATCTGAACAAGCAAACTGGGACAGCAAAGAAAAAGTACACTCTGAAAATGTGATATGAAAGTACACAGGCAGCATAGGCACGTTGCGTACATACTGTATGTGTCTTTGTATTAAATGTTCAGTTGACACCGTCTATAACTTAGATAGATAAGAAATATCTGACCTGTAGCACCAGAGACTCCTTGTCTCCCTCTAGGCGAAGCAGTCGTTCTTGGTAAGTTTCATTGTTGGCTGGAGAACAGAGGTTCACCTGGACAAATGCACACAGAAGAAACACACAAAGTTCATGAAGAGGTTAAGGATGAAAGATAAGGGATGGCTTATTTTTATCTTCAAGCACTGAAGCAGAGAGGCACATCCTCTGTCCCTAAATCAGCAAAACTGCAGTCTTGTTTACACCAAAGACTGTATAGAAAAAATGAAGGTAGCCAAGGTGACCGTTTCCAAGCTTCTGTTAGCGGATTTTAGTCAGTGGCTTTTTTGGTGTGTATGTGAGAGGTGGAGATGACAACTTGTTAGCCTGCAACAAAAGCTTCCTAATGAGTGTTTATTTGTCTAAACCACAGATGAATAGATGCCTGCTCATCCTAAACATCTTAGTTTGGCACATGGAAGCTAAATTTGGCAGGTCTGATGCTGAATTACACCTTAACCACCCAACAAACGGGGGGGATGCGCTTCCCCAAGACAGGGGCAATTTCATCTAGCTACTCATAAGCCAGATACAACTAGGTTCTCTAAAGCAGAAAAGAGTATCTATTATTCACAAAACTGCACAAATACATTATAAAAAGTGCTGTTGAAGTCAGAAAATAACTTATTTACTTTGTCTGGGATGCTTTGAACAAAAGCAAAATGCATGATTCAGCAAACATACATATTGCCAATGTTGAATTTAAAATACAAAGACGTGTAAACTGTTAGATTACAGGTAGTCAGACTGAAATATCTATACAGTAAGATTATAAACAGCCAGTAATATGGCTTAGCTGCTAACGTTAAATGCATATAAATGTCAGAATATTGCTGATTTTTGCGCTGCTGATGCTTCAGAGTTTGACAAAGAACCAAGCTGTACACATAATCCTCTCGCTTAATGTCCAGAGCTGGTCTGGGCAAGACTGCTGACTCTTGCACAAGGAACTCACAGAGCCGATGCTGTATAAATACACATTTTTCACAAAGCACATGATACGAAGTTATGAAACATCATCTGACTCATCTGACTTCTGTTAATCTGGAAATAGCAGGATAGCGGAGCCAAATCATCGACATTGTGCTAAAGCTTGTGCTATAATTTCCACCTTTTTCATCTCTGACTACTGTAAGTCTAACAAAACATATCAGATATCAATGTATTTGCAGCAGCCTGTCAGGAGAAAAAGCCGTGTCAGGCTCTGTGTCGAAATAGAAATGCTTTCTAATGTGAACTTAAGAACATGCAAACAGTGAAAGAGACATTTCCCTTTGGTCAGAAGTTCTTTTGCCAGTTCCTTATTACCCTGCTATTAAGGTTATGGCAGAATTATGCACTCCACAACTCAGGAAGTGAAAATGAAAGTCAAGCCGAACAATTTTTAAATGGCTTTATTCCTGAATGATGATGTCTGTCCTGTTTCCATTTCTCTGCTCAGCTTTAAGAGTCAGAATGTGTTTGAATGCTGCTGGCTCCTCCGCTCCCCAACATGCTGCTGCAAACATTTGGAAAGAGAGGAAAACATTCTTATGATAAGATGATATTTTCTGCTTCTGTCAGCAAGATTAGAAATACCACCTGTTGTTAGAAACACTTTGGCTAAATCAGTTTGCACTTGCAGGCCTGTTAAACTGCAGCTGAGATTTAGCTTTGTGCTAACCCTACATAATGTTAAGAAACAGAGTGACGTGTACTGGCCAGTAACACTGTATCAATGCCAAACAAAGACTGTGTGGGAAACAGCAATATTACATTACAGCTCAAACCGAATGAGCTCTTAAAACTGGAGCTTCAACACTATGTTTGCCCTTAACAGAAATCTTGCTATTTCTTTTAAACCAGATTCAAGAAGGTGCTGGAAACATTCCTCAGAGGTTTTGGTGTATACTGACATGACAGCTGTCAGTTAAACATCTATGATCCCAAAGGTGCTCTGCTGGATTGGTATCTGGTGACTCTGGAGGCCATTTGAGCACAGTGAACGCATCGTCATGTTCAAGACACCAGTTTGAAATGATTTGAGCTTTCAGACATGGCGTGCCATCCTGCTGGAAACAGCTGTCAGGAGATAAGGTACACTGTGGTCATTAAAGGGATGTATGTGATCAGCAATCAGGAAGGCACTTGGTGTGGTCTTCTCCTAGTTCTCATCTGCTTCATGTTTTGAAGTGCTGCGCATTCAGAAGTGCTCTTCAACAAATCTTGGTTGTAAGGAGTGAGTCTCTGCAAACTCTGTTTTATTTGGGAAAAGTAGATCAGCAGTTTCTTAAATGTTCCGACCACCTTGTTTGGCATCAACAACCGTGCCATTTCCAGAGTCACTTAAATCACCTCTCTTCTCCATTCTGGTGCTCGTCTCAACCATGTCTGTGTTTACTTGTGTTTAAGATAATTTCACTTGCACCTGCTTCTACATGTTTGATTGTGTTTTTCCCTCTCACCACCAAACATCCAGTGTGGATATATGCTATAAAAGTATGAACCTTGTATATGACTACTTGAAACACTAGTATTGACACCAGCCCAAAAGTCCATTATAGATCTGTTTCCACCTGAAATGACAGAAAGCAGTAGCAGCTGTAAAGGAACTGATGGTCATTCTGGTAATATATCAAGACTGTGTGTGAAATTTAGGCCTGAATTAAGTATGACAATTATTATTATCAATTATTACAATCAATCAAATGACTGTGGATAATGTTAAAATCACTTGTAGTAGTAAAACCACATTGTCATCGCTCAGCACTGCAGTTCACCTCAGCTGTTAGCACATTTTGGCTAAAACAATTAGTTTGTTTTAATATCTGAAGTACTGAACTTGGTTACCACTGATTTCCATCAGCAGCAGGTAGCTGTATTCATCAAACATCCCACTGGTGATACTAAAGCTTAAGTTAACAACCAATTTGCAAACATGAGATGGTCGCGTTTGTCCTGTAGGAGTTCAAATTGCATTTTAGATGAATGCTGAGGTTGCTCAGGACTACTACAAGATTACTACAAAGAACTAAACACTGAATGCGTCCATGTTCTGTAGGGCATGAGACAGTCCAGAGAGGACAGGAAAAATATATATTTCATTTGTTAAATATTTTTCTTCAAGAAAAGCTCATCGTGTTTTTGGTGGAATTAAATGATATTTCATTTTTAACCACAGACTATGCTGATTATGGCATCTGCAGTGTTTTCTTGTACAATGATGATCGTGTGTCGGTGGAACTTTCTGCATCTGTCCCTAAAGATTTGAGGGGGGCCCAGATTTGCCAACAATCCCCACAACCATTACTGTCATTTAAGCAATCAACATTTAAGCCTCTTACTGCCAAAAATCCACTCCACACCCATCTAAACTACGATTAGCTTAACTAGCTTCAAAGTCCAGAAAAAATAAATATATAAAACGCCTTTAGGCTAAAATATGCAGCAGTGTAAATGTAACTGTTTGCTACAAGAAGCCGACCTTTCCTACTATCATGACGATGACCCAGTTTTAAAGAAAACGTAAACATCGAGGGTTTTTTTTGTGCTTTTAGCTGAAACTCTTATCTGATGCCACAACAACTACTCTAAACTTTAGCTTCAAGGCACATTAGTGAGCTTCCAAAACCTTATCAGTCTCTTTCAGTCTCAGCACACAGATGAAAAACCCTAAAATCAGCCTGTAATCCTGGATGAACTGTCTGAAGCTGAGGTCACAGGATGTACACCAGCTAGGTCACCTGACGTGGACCATATGGATGCATTAAACCCATTATCAGACTTGAAATTAAACAGAGACGGGGGTAGAAAGGGGGTGGGGGACAAACTGTTTCTTTCAGAGTGTCTCTTAAGTTATAAAATGTAAGGCTGTAATAATGTTACATTTACAGTTTCTCATTCCAGTGGGAAATCTGCTGTAATCACAGATCTTCCCATCAGAAGACCGAAGAGAAGCAAGGCCATTTCAGGGTGGTGATGACACAGCGTTTGAATGGACCGATAAAAGAAACCAGGCCAGTCTGTTTTTATCTGTTATCGCCTGGTGGATTGAGTGAGAATGGACAGAGCAAGACGATTTGGGGCCACAGTGTAATGTCTTTGCACTATCATTATATATTACAGTTCTGCAGTTGTTTTTTCAGTTTCCTTGAGTTTTCCATTAGCACTTCTGACTAAATCTGGGAAATTTAGCTGAAAACTACTAGAATATTAGTAGCAGTAAAAATTTAATTAAACAGGTTCTCTCTGTGAACCTAGAAAATATTACGTTTTTAGAGGCGTTTCAGTTTGTATCATGAAGTAAAAGTGCTTCCAGTACAAGTAAAAACAGGGTGGAGCATCAGTTAAATAAATACTGACCCATTACCTTGAGTGGTTTTTGCTTACACAGCACATTTTTATTCAAATATATTAAATCAGGTATTTATGATAATAGTGAAATAGTGAAATGATTCCTCTAATCAGCTAGGAAAATATTTAAATCATTTAGAGCTAAATATGAAATTACCTTTTGAGTTTTTTCAAGATGTTCTCTCAAAAAACAGGACCAAAAAATTCATATTTTATTCAACACTAATGAAATTCGAATCATAGTTCTAGTACAATTTATATAAAGTGAGTACACTTCACTGCAGCAGACCAAATATTTAACAAGGCTTTGCACAAGAGGAGAGGAAACACTATCCACTCAATATAAATGATTACACTGGAATGAATACAGACATGTTTTATTAGTCGTACTTTTCTCGGTGTATTCACAATAAATGTTGTGGCCAGTGGAATGGGTGGAACTGTAATGACATACAGTGGCGTGATCCCAGTGTCTAAGAATGCATGACAGCATGCAGCACACTACCCACCTACTTTAAGTGATTCACATAAAAGTGCTCCAAAGGTCAGCGCTCTGTAAGCAGGTAACATGTACGTCCACAGAATTCATGTAGAATTTTACTGCTCACTTTCAAAGTCAAAGCCTGACCTTCTATCCAAAACCAAATGCTTTTAGTTTTTGGTTTTCGTCCCTCGTTGGCCCTAATCTGAGTCGTGAGTGCTCATTCGATTTAGCGCTGCAGCAG